AATATAGAGCCTGGAAAACAGGATGGATGGATGGATGAATGATTGGATAAAAACATGTTTCTTTCTCCACTTCCGCCTAAACCTAAACACCGACCGGAAGTCAGCTGAGCTCCGTCAGTACCGCAGCGCGGACGCTAGATGGCAGCATTGCCTCACAAGCTCTGAACTCTTCTTGTTTTTCCTGCCTGCTGCCAGGAGCTGAGTTATTACATAAGTAGAAAAATCAGCAATATTTCACCGAACAAAGCCGGTGAGTCACTTCAGCTCTTCAAAGCAAACAGAAGCGGAAATATGGAGAAAAAGAAAAGAGAATAAACGGCCTTCCTTTGATCAGCGCTGCAATTTAATAACCTGAAAACCACAGAAGGACTTTATTTGGATTTGTCGTCTTATTTTCAGATGGATTCAAAGAACGGCTTTTAAAAAATGTTCTTTGTTGCTTCTGCGAGCAAAACAAGATGTAAATGGTGACGTCATAGCAGCTAAATCAAATTCCTGTAATGATTTCAGTTATTAAACATTTTTATTTAGTTTTGACTTGTTTATTTTTGTCTGCATGATATTTAGCAGGTTGTAATCTTGACTCAATCAAACCACAAGTATTGCAAATAATACTAAAACATAATTGATTTATTAAAATAAATTGAGTTCATTGCCTTTAGTTGCTTATTTCATGTAAGGTTCTTATAAAATTCAACATTTAAAACTTTTTTCAATACAAAACCTTGAATAAAAAGTTTCTGAATCATATTTTGGTTTAATTTGAACATTTAATCGTTAAGCCGTAAATAAATAATATATTAATATCATGCCTGTAAATTAATTTGTTAAATAAAAAGAAGTGGTTAAAATATTTTTGGATTTAGTTATAATTTCAAAACTATTGAGCAAATACAGATCAATTTATAGCAAAAACTGATAAATATTTTCTAAGTACCAAAAATGATTTAGATTTACTAATTTATTAGGTGAAATCAAGTTTTACTGATTACCTGATAGAAATTGATGCTATTTTTCTCAATATCTGTACAATAATTATAGTTAACATCTTCAGACATACCTGATCTATTTCTGTGCAGAAATTAGACACATTTGTTTTACAAAGCAGCTTAAGATGATATTTATTCTGAATTCCTGCTGCATAAATAATTTGGTTGTATTATTGCACCTGAGTCATTCTGTAACTACTAACATGATTAAAATAAACTACATTATTTTCTCAATCATTTAGTTATTATAGCTTTATGTTTATAAACAGTTTTTTTCTCTATATTTCAGTATTTTATGTTTACATTAATTTGCACACCGTTTTTGTGTGGAAATAATCGGACCTGCCGGTTTCCTCTACTGGCTTTTAACCTCCATTAGCTCAAAATGCAACATTTGTTTTTTATTTTCCTCTTTCAGGTGGTGAATTATTTCCTCCTTTGATGAATTTGCATTATTCCATTTCCTTTCACCTGCAGAAATACGACCCGTTTGAACTCTTGTGTTTTCATTTGCAAACAGTTTCTTTTTGCTTGGAGCATCGATTCGACTCTGCAAATATTCATGTGTTCATTGTGAGCATGATTGAGTGAAAGCAAACATGAAAACATGTTGGCAAACATGAAAATATTCCCAGAAAGGATTCAGTCACAAAACTTTGATTTGATGTGCAAAAGCTGCCGAATGTTTTCACAAACCTTTAATTTAATTAATATTTTATTAAATTAAAACAGACTTTTAGTTTCCTAGGTGACAAACAACATAAAGAATTGTGAAAAGAAGAGGAATGTCTGAGTTTTCTATTTTTCTTTGAAACATTATTTTATAAGTTCATTTGTTTTAAGTTTATGTTGGTCGGTCATATAAAAAAAATCCCTCTAAAATGTGTCAAACTTGAGGTTTGTGGGCCAAATCTGCCCCCCTGCAACTTTTTATACGGTCCTTTAGGTTGCAAATGATAAAAACTACACATGATCAATTCACAAATCAATAAATTTGCAGTTCAAATGTTCTGCAGAAAATGTGAAAAACGTTAAATTAAGCGATACCAACTCCCACCTGTAGGCGGCAGTATTTCTTACCTTTAATGTCAACATCAAAAAGTAAAATGTAAAATTATACCTAAGGGCAAAAATTACACAATTTCTTTAAAATATTTCTAAATTAGCTCAACTCTGTGATTTGATTGAAAAAAAAAATAAAAAAAATTGTGAAATTCGAGATGGATGTGAAAAGAATACAGTCTAATATTAATAAGAACTTATCAAATGCAGAGATGGCTACTTATTAATATTTCAACAGTTTATTGAAGAGTGCTCCCGGCCCTTTAAGAGCATTCAGGACCTTAATGAAAATGAGTTTGACACAAACGCTCTAAAAGGTGCTGATATTTATGGCTGCAACCTGTATTTTAAAATACTTTTGAGGTTTTTTTTTATTCAAATAAGTACAACTGATGCATTAAATTAGCATTTAAATGCAAAAGTAATTAGAATATTGTTGATATTTGTGACGGTGGATCGGTGGTGGTGAACCTACCTGAAGTCCTCATGGATCCTGGCAGCAGCAGAGACTTGGCATCCTGACGCCCAGCCATGTAAAACATTCCCATTTAAAGTTCAACTTGAATAAAGAAGAAAAATTGGACTTTTTTTGTCTGCAGATATTGTCTCATATTAAAGGCTTGTGTCTGCCCAAAGGTTGGATCCACAGCTAAAAATGAAATGCAGAATCAATATTTAATAACACAGCAGGCAGACGGCGCGGTGATGAGAAACTACTCTGCCTTTATGTGTGTCTTTTATGAAGACAGAATTTAAAATCGCTCTAAACTTCTGGTTTTAAAGCAGACAGGTGTTCTCAGGTTGGAAGACGTTTTTGTTTCTGCAAACGGCTGCTCAGTTTCTGCGAGTGAAAGGTGAAAACCCTTGACCTTTGACTTCTCTTTCCTCTTCCTTCTCTACTGGGGATGCAGTTGTGACGGTGAGACAGTGGATTGGACACAGAGTGGACAGACAGTGGACACGTCTCGCCCAGGACAGCGGACAGCACAGGAAAGAGGACAGGAAATATTTACACCATCTCCTTTTATCAATAACCAATGATCCGATGTGATGGACGTAGGAAGATTAAAACCTTCTATTTTAAGGTATATTTCAAAACTTTGGGAAATACACTAGTTTATCTAAAACATAACAGGCAGAAATCGAATAAATATTTATTTAAAGATGTGCAACAATTTATTTTCCAATCAGTAATTTCTTTTGTAAATTTCACTTTCCAATAAAAACTACAGAGAAATGTATTTTTTCTATTGTTCATCTGGTTGCAGAGCTGCAGCACAACAGAGAGGGACGAATATGGAAACTACCTTTGTTGTTTACAAGATTTTAAGTCTTGCTTAAATCTTTTTTAACCATATTTTATTAGCTTTGTGATCTGAATTATTTCAAGTACAATAGATCTAGTTTGTCTAGATCACTGAACTTCTTGTTTCAAAACTCAAAAGTAAAACAAAACTAAGAAACAAACTCAGTAAATAATGAAGAAAAACAATTTCTTACAGGGAAGTAAGTCTATTTAGCTTAAATGTTCACTTTTAGGTCATGTAGAAATGTTTTCTAATCTATAAAAAAAATCTGACTGTGTATAAAATGGTGGATTTAATGTTTTTGTCAAATCAGGCTTTAAGATAATTCTGACTCCAGTGGATAAATTGCTGGTTGTTACATCGTTGTGGTTTATGCAGAAGCTTTAGCTGATGTTAGCATGTTAGCTATCGTAAATATCTCACAATAGCTAACATGCTATCTTTTTAAAAATAAACAGAATATTGTTTTTTTTCCCCCCATGAAATGCAGAATTTGATAAAACAACAGTGAATTTCTATAATTATAAGCAAACCACAGTTGTAAGTTGGAACTAGCCCCTGCTAGCTAACACTTTAGCAAACATTGACATGTCAGCTGCTTTACTAGAATATATTTATTTATTAAAAAGGTTTGGAATCAAATCACTTTGAGGCTTTGAAATGTCTCTTTCTAAACTTGTGACATAATTTATGGTTCTAACATCATGATGGCTAACATTAGCATGCTAGTCAAGTCAACGTTTGTTTTGTAGCACATTTTCAACAACCTTATCTGACCAAAGAGCTTCACAGTAATTACATTATAGGTAGACAAATAAAACAACAAATAGATTTAAACTAGAATAGAATCGACAAAAAAATACCCCAAAAATAACACAAATAAAAACCAAGACATATTTCATTTCAGTTGCAGCAATTTAGCAAAAAACTTGAGTCAATTAGTTTTTGCATTTTTTAAATTGGTGTAGCTACTTTAGCTACATGGTTAGCGTGCTAGCTCCTTGGGTAAGTATATTGAACAATAAATAAAAAAAGGAATAAATTTTCTTGTTAGATCAATATGACAATGTTTTTGAAACCACAGACATTACTGGTTGTACTGGTTTTAATCATCTCACTTTAAGATGGACTCCCACTAAAATGTTTCAGCTAATGCTAGCATGTTTGGTGCTAACAGCAGTTAGCCCCAAGTTCAACATCAACAATTCTTCCACTTTCTGTGCATGTTTCAGAGTTAATGATGGAGAATATATTAATGTTTATCCTGTTTTAAGTGTATTTCCCAAAATGACAAATTATACCTTCATGCTGAGAAAATGAGTTGTTTTTTCCATCTCGATCACCTGATACATTAAAAACATTAGCAAATGTTTTTCTGACTGTCGCGCAGCAGCTTGGGCTACACAGTAATATACATGCAAACGGTTCGATGTATATTTACTATGTTTAGTGAGAACAGCATAGTGAGTTGTCATTGAGGATGGAGTCAACTTTACTATGTGGTCCAAACAGAAAACACAGAAAACAGGTGGGAGGAACGACAGAATGAGCGAGAGGAAGGAAGAGAGAGAGAAAGAAACGGAGGATGAAACGGTACAACATCAGACGGCCACTGGAACATAACAACACAGAGAGAGACAAGTATTAGGAAAAATGGTTTAATATAGGAGACAGAAGCAAAAAACTGCATCACACAAGAACATACGTTTACAAAAATAATTCTGACTGCTTCAGCTACACAGTTAGTTCACAGAGAAGGACAGAGAAACCGGAAAACTCTAAACAGCTAAAAGCAAAAAGTTTCTAATTAGTTGATCTCTTTATTAAACTAATACATTAATCCACTGAAGGTGACTAAATACTTCTATTCTTTCTTTTTCTATAATTGTCTTATCGTGTAGACGACACAATACAGAAGTCAAATGAAACTTACCGCTGTTGTATAGACAAACTTGCTAGAACTATTAATAAGTAAAATGAAAAGTCTGACACTCATCTACCCTCCTTTTTTGAAAAAGAAAAAAACATTAAAGTGAGGAAAAAGAAGTGAAAGAAATAAAGCCAAAGATCTTTTAGAAAATCTTATATCAAAAGCCAACGTTCTTGATGCCAGCTAGAAATCAAACTCGGGGACCAGTCGGGTCAGGCCACATCACCAGGCCAGACAGCGTTTTTCTAAGATTTTTTTGTTGTATCCTTTAATCTCCAGTATAAAAAATTCCACTGGTACAAAATGCATAAGTACAATCAGTTGTAGAAATAGGAAAGCCTGCATTTTTTGTACTTTTTAAATCCCATCCAGTGACAGATTTCCAAGTGTTGTCAAACAAACATACATCACGCTTACAGGATCCACTGAAATGCATTGACTTTGGCTTCTCTCAAGACAATAACTCTGAAACTACTGAAAACCATTTTGAGAGTCAAAATTAACAAAAGCAACAACAGCAACAACAAAAATCAGATTTTTTTTGGTGAATTTTTGTAGTTTTTTTTTCTTTACAGACAACAAGCTCTGTTTTTACGCCACGGAAAGAGAACACACAAAACATTTTTCTCCTCAAAAAACTTGACATAAGCCATAATGCAAAGAAACAACAAGTTAGATTTTTTTTGTCCTTTCAGATTTCAGTATTTGATAAATAGCACTTAAGATAATTAAGAAAGAAGGAGAACAGAGAAGTGAACAGTGACGAGATAGAAAGATTACAACGAGCGTTGGCGATGACAGCCCCTGAGGTGAGCCGCTCCTCAGAAACTCGGCTCCTTGTGCTTCCAAAGGCCTGATGCTTCAAGCTAACGCTGCGCCACAACGGGCTGTGTGCAACTTGGTGCAATTTGGCAGCGCAAAATATTGTTTTTGGACTTTTACAGGTCTTTAACTTCTAGCATCTGTGTTTAAATGAAAAAATACTGTGCAAGAGAGAAGTGAGAGTGTGAGATATGGAGTTGTATAGAAGATATAAAAGGTTTACACACCACGTTTTAGTGGAAGGGTTTTCTGATTGAGAATGACAGATTTAATGTATAATTGACACAGAAATATTCGCCCACTTTTCTTTTGTTTAGTCCGCTTCAATCAAACTGGAGTTCCAACGAGCAGAAAAACTCTGCAAACCTCGGTTTGGTTCAGCTGAGGTGAAATTATGCGCATATGTGAACGCCAAGACGAGCAAGGAAGTCAGAATAACACAAAATACTTGCATTACAAGATAAAAAACATGAGAATAAAATATTACCAGAAACAAAGTCATATCGTGAGAATAAAATAATATTCTAAGAATAAAGTCGAACATTTACGTTGTTGCTAAATTTGTTGAAGCTTAATCTGACTTTTCGTACCATAAATCAATAAACGATGCAGGAGATTGCTGCCAGATGTAAACAAATATCTCTTGTTTTAAAAAGTATCGTACTCATGATGTTATAAACATACCAAAAGCATAGGGGGCAGTGTAGCGCAAAGCTAAAACCAGCCAATCAGAATCCGTCAAAGCAAACACGACTTCCTGTTACAGATTAAATATGGCGGCAGGAAGTTGACCTGTGTGGAAGATTGAATAACTTTTAATGACCAAAGCAGGATAAAAAGACAATGTTGAAGTGTGAGGATAAACTGGGAGAATCTAAAACTCATTTTCAAGAAGATATAAACTGTTTTCTTACACTTTGGTTGGAGTTTCCAGAAATAATAATATTTAGGTGGATTAAAGGCCAAAATGCATAAAACTGTATTAATCTTCCCAGGTCTTGGACTGCCTGTGTTCTCGGCCTGATGTGATAAATAATCAGAGTTTTAACGGGTGTGTAAACCTTTTAGGTCCACTACACACAAATATTCCTCTGTTGGTTCTTAAATTTTCCGGCTGTTAAACGTGTAGTTATGGCTGTTTCTTTCTCCACTCTTGATGTTTGCAGCATTAAAGTTCCACAATCAGAGAAATAACATCTCAGTTTGGTGTTGAGCATCTAATGAAAGCGGCGCTGCCTTCATCTCCTTGTTTTTTCCTGTGTGGACCTGCAGACGCGACCTCTTCCTCTTAAGCCAACAAGCTTTTATTTCCCCCGTCGCCGCTCCAATAAGATGCTCCTCCTGTTTCTAATAACCTCGGTTAGCCTGGGAGACAACAATCCGGAGAAGAGCGTCCCTTCCCGTCTTGGCGGACGAAATGGAGGAAACCCAAACAGATGGGGCGTTAACGGCACACAGAACTGAACCTGGACTTGGCACAACATCCTCTATCTTTATAACACTGGTGCGACTCTCCCTGGTTAAGGCGACTGGTGAGCTTCTGTAGAAAATAATGCTGCCTTTTTTTTGTCTTTTTTGCAGACCGTAAACGAGGCTTTCAGGGAGGGGCAGTTGAATAGACTGACAACACTGTGCCATGTAAACGACTTGACTATGTGAATGTCAATAACACACTTTGGCATCTATACATGATTTTGGCCCATTACACGACGAGACAAAAAAAATAAATGAAAGAGCTGAGCAGCAGATCCGGAGCGTCCCGCCCGCCTCCTTCCCGCCGGCCGGCCGACCCGACGGACTGACGGACGGTGACGTGTGCTTTTTCCTAAACAGACTGAGGCTGAATGAACGAGTCTTGCCCTGTGCTTACATCATGAAAGCTCCTCGGAGGCGATAAACAGTAACGATTCTCGCCATCAGATACAAACGACTCTGAAAGGTTTTTGAACTCAACAATAAGGGATAAGACGGGGATTTAGAGAAATAAGGCTTCGCGTCTGACTCTGGCTTGAATATTTTCAGCTGGAGTCAGAAAACGCACGGCGAAGCCTGACGTTTGGACTGAGCGGCTAATAAAAACAGAGAGAACAGGAGTGCAAAGATTTGTGGTAAGGCTTTCATGACTCAAACAGCGGTACAGTGGCTAAAAATATTGACGTGATGTGTGTGTGTGTGTGTGTGTGTGTGTGTGTGTGTGTGTGTGTGTGTGTGTGTGTGTGTGTGTTGGGTAGCAGCGGCTGCTGAAGAGGATTTCACGCTCAGGGGCTCTCATGCACATTTAAAAAGTAAACTGTGAGGTCTGCACGAGAGTGTTTGTGTGTCCATGTGTGCATATGTGTGTATAGATATATTTATATATATATTTATATGACACATGGGCACTTTTTACATCTTTACAAAGAAAAAAGCAAACATGACATTGTCAGGCAACAAGACCACAGAATAGCAAGTTAACAAACTCTTTTTTAAATCTATACTTTAAATATGAGGGATCCATACAAAACACTTATAATAAAATACCCATGTTATCAAATTATTTCACAAGAAATACACTGACGCGCTAGGCAGGAAGTACCTCCAGGATTTGGCACTAAACTCCACTGATCTTGTCTTTTTTTCCTTATAAGACATTTTGCTGAACAACAAAACACATCTAAATATTGTTTCCCACGAGAGAAATAAAATAATAATGACATTGATGCTTCACGAGCTGACATTTTATATATATATTTATAGGTATATTTATATTTATATAGATTTTTAGGAATTTTATATAGCTAATTAACCAACAAGAGATTTAGCAAATAGGGACTCCTTAAAAATAAAATAAAAAAAACAAATTAACTATTATAGTAATATGAAAGGCTTTGTCTATTGTTCAAGTAAACTGATTTTTTTTGTCTTCTCTTGAGAAAACATGAGACATTTAAGACCGTTAGACTTGTGATGAAACCACAACTAAACTCACAAGAAGCACCGACGTTAACGTGGGTTACAGGTATCGTAGTTTTTTTCCTCTATACATTTAAACAGTAGAAAATATAGGTAATTTCATCATGTGCATTTAAAACCACGGATTGTCTATCTGTGAGTCAGTTCAGCAAAAGGTGACACAAGTAGGTAGCATTTCTCCCCCCCAAACAGGACAAATGTCCTTTTTTTATTTTTTACCTTTAAACTACTCTAGAAAAAAGTGGTTCTATATATAGACTTTGAATGAGAAACAGAGCCACTTAAAATGGCCTTATCAAAAAACTTTACACTGCCTGAAAAATGTAAAAACCATTAGAGAGCTCTGAGAGTCTAATATTGATCAGACAGTTTTTATTAAAACTGTGTGGAAGTAGTCTTATTTCTCAGAGAAACTGGCACCAACTGCTTCTGGTGCTGCTTGGTTTTTGTTTTTCCGTCTGCAACCAGAAGCAAGATGAAGAGCCAATTCCTGTAGTGAACTTTCAAGTTTACGTTAAAATGAAAGAAGGAAAGAAAAAAATCACATAAAGAATGGAAATCACTTTTTTAACCACAGGTTGTCATTTTTTTTACCTCAAAAAGAACATTTGTTCATAAAAATCTCAGTCTTTCTAGTTAAATTTCATATGAATGCAGCTTTATCTTTTTCACATTAAGTCATTTTCTGAACCACGCCTCCCTAAAATCCAAATGAAGTCACATGCAAAAAAAAAAAGAAAAGAAAAAGAAACACAAAACCAAAACATAAAACTGATATTTAAAAGTCCAAAAAGCTAAAAGCTGAAAAGATCAGTAGGCAGCGGTGGAGGAGAACCAGGTTATGATCAGGTGAGCTCGGAAAAGACATCAGAGAAACAATGACGGGGTAGGAGGAAGAGGACACTGTTTTTTTGTTTAAGGTTTTTTTGTTTGTTTTTTTGGACGCCACGAAGACATGCTAGGCAAACGATGAACTAACAGGCATGGAGATGGGTTGTTCTAAAAGGGGGAAAGAAAAAACGGGAGAGGAGAGAGTTACACACAGAGAGCCAGAGCAGCACACCACAACAGCATCATCTTCCAAAGAAACCAAACCAAAAGTCAACGACAAACAACAAACAAACCCTGAACAGCAACACAACACGCTGGTTTCATAAGCAGATTTAGCATTAAGTTTACATTTCTTTACATACTAGAAAACTGACATGAATGTTATAGGTCTATATTTACGAGCAACAACACACATTCACACCCAAAGCCGTATCCATCACTCCCAGATGGATGGTGGTGTTTGGGGAGCGATATTTTATTTTTTATCAATTTCTTTCTGTTTTAAAAATTTATTTTAAATTTTACAGACGGGAGGGGGGACAGATAGACAGACAGACAAAAACACGAAAAAATTAAACGCTTAAAACAACCCTAACGAAATCGAAGAGGACAAATGGAGAAGGACGCGTTGAAAAGATGGATGAAGGTCACAGAGACGGGCGGGATGTGGGAGGGCTTATGGATCTGTCACCATGTTTCTGCACAAAAATTAAAACAAACACTCGCGTGAAAGGATTTTAAAAAAGGAAAACGGGGAGAACTCCAGCAGGTTTCTCCACAGGGTCGAGTTGAGCGATGCTGTTTACTTTATCGGAGTCCAATAACTTAACGATAGGCAATAAATAAAATCATTTTTTCTTCATCTGAGGCAGTAAAAATGTTGTATAAAAATAGAACTGCTTTTTTACAAATAAAATTTACAGGCCTGTGGCTTTACTGTACTTTGAATTATTTTTTTAATCTGTCAACAAACCTCAAGTATTTTCAGAGACCCGCCCCTTTGACCCATAAACTTATTTTTGTAGTACTATTATTTCCTTCCACAAATTCTGGATTTAGTTTATTTTTATTTTTTTCAAATCTACATGCTGTTATAATCTTTTCACATAAAAGACCAATGTGATCCGACCCAGAAAAGTAAGAACAATTTTTGTTAAACTTCTGTGAAATAAGAAAAACTGTATTTGTACATAAATGACAATGTTTAGCTGGATTTTGTGTATTTTTTGTCTTCTTGTGGTGGTAGAGTGTAACTTTACAGTTAAGAGGCCACGAATGTTTTGCAGCCTTTGCTCCCGGGTTGCCAGCAGGCATCAAGGGGTTTTTCTGAGAAGCAGCGGCAGCCTGCAACCAACACCGTGGAGGTCAAAGGGCGAATGTGCATATTGGCGAGCGCTTTAAAAAAGGAGAAAATTTTGAAAAATGAACCCATCACAGCCTTCGAGTTCAAAACAGAAAACTAAAGAAGAAACTGATGGTACCATGGCTCCTTTGTCTCGACTTTCCACTCAAACTAGTCTTTATAAATGTATAAATAATCAATGTAAAAGAATAAAATTAAAGTTTAAAGAAACTATTCTTTGAAAAAAACAACTTTCTTCCATTGTAAAGAGAAAGAAAAGTAGATTGCACAAAGTAATGGCAGAAATGGAAGTGTTCATGTGTGTCAAAAGCTGTAATAAATAATAATAGTTGAAGGCTTACATAGAAATCTTCAAAAATAACCAAAAAGAAAAGTGCGTCTCCCTCAGGTGGTTGTAGGTCATCTCCCCCTACCTCCCACAATCCCTCTGTTCACCCCGACCCCCCCAGACCCAAGAGGCCGCGGCTCGCTTTATTTTCAATAAACTTTTTTTTAACCATCACTTTTGCTCTTTTTAAATGGGGGGAGGGAGACTTACCCTAGCAGTGCTAACTGGGGGAGCGGACAGACCTAGTGCTAAAATCAGTAAGGTTTGCTGTCGTTCTTGGAGCGCTTCAGCTGCACCTTCAGCCGCTTCATGCCGATCTGGAAGCCGTTCATGGCCTGAATGGCTGCCTGTGCCGACACCGGATTGTCGTAGCTGACGAAGCCTGCGGGGAAAAACGCCGACATTTGATCCCTGACGCGTTGAGGCAAACAGAGAACTGAACGACTTGTTGCATAATCTGTCTGCATGTTGCAAGAACAAAATGATCAATGAAACTAAAAACATCTTTAAAGTTTTACTACTTGGTAACGTTTATCTTTATTTGTGCAGAATCCCTAAATATTCAGGGTTTGATGCTGAAACAGTTTCTACAGAAGCTAATTTATGCAGATAAATTGTACAAACATTCCTCTTGTTTTTAATGAACTGAGTTCATTAATGAACTCAGTTCATTAAAAACAAATATAGTAGCTTTTAAATAAATCTGCACAAACTGAAGGTGATATCTTCCTTTGAAATGTTCAAAAGGAATTTGCTGGTAGTTTTGATCAATATACATTTTAGAATTGAAGCACAAAACAAAAGTTTAATTTATGGCTGAATAAATCGATTAAAATAATTTCCCCCTTCAGCTACTGTACTAGAAAAATGCCCCTTGATTGATAATAATAAAACTGATTGTTTTTGTTCCTCACTAATTGATTTATTTGGCTAACCATAGCTATCTAAAAACAATCAACATAGGATGTAATAGTAACCTTATCTAATAAAAACGTGTTTTTCCATGTGAAACATTGTTTGGGGTTAATTAACATTCAAATTGTGATTATTTTGTCATAGTTTTGATTAGAGTCATTGATCAGTGCGATTAGCTGCCAGGTTATATAGAAGAACAAGTGAATGTACCAAAGCACTTGCTAAGGTTTGTCTGTTTGTCGATGAAGACTTTGGCGGAGACCACGTTTCCGAAAGGCATGAACATCTGCAGTAAATCCTGGTCTCCGAACTCCTGGGGCAGGTGGTAGATGAAGAGGTTGGCACCTTCAGGCCCTGGAGGGAAGGAAGGCGCGACAGCAAAGGTCAGGATGGGGTCATGCTGTTCACATGGAGCTCAGCGGAAACCGGCTGTCGTTACAGGAGCTCAAACATGACGCTTGGCACATCGTGTGCTGGCCTTGGGTTTACCGCCGCTTCCAAACAAAACCCAGAAATGCTGAAAGCTTTTCATTTTTTAATAATTGTATTTTGGCTTGCTACAAACAAAGGACGGGCTTTTTATTCATTCTTTCAGCTGCATGTTGTCTCTCTTAAGAGGGGTCACGGGTTCCCCACGCCTCTTATCGATGCCAGCCTAATAGTTGTGGTAGGTCAGATCTCTCAGAAGCGTTTCGTTGGCTCTCCACGGCGAAATGAAGCCGCCGGTCTTTGTTTCCCTGAAGGGTTTTGAACTGCAGGTAAATACAGAAGCTTCTTTACAGTTCTGGTGCTGAAAGCAGAGCGGGCCACAACAAACGGAACCAGGCTGCTGTTTGTTTTTACTACACATTTCATCATCCGATTCGTATTCAGGTCTGTTGTCAAAGGCTGTTGGGTAAATGTGATTCCAGCTGCCAGGTTGTATTACAGGTGGCACATACAAGCACAATTTGAGACATTTTCTTCTCCAATTTTAAAGATGTAATTCAAAATTTATACCACAAAATGGCAATTTGGAGCAACTGGAAAAGATCTTAACTGGTTGCAATGAAACTGTTTCATCCACAAATCTAGTCATGAAATCTTGGCAGATTTTGGTTTTTTAACCAAAACTGTAATAATAATCATCAATGTAAGTTTTTTCTTAGCTTGTTACTTTTGCTTGGAAAAGAGCTAAAACTTTGTCAAATTTAAGTCTCAGTAGCCTGAAGCAAAGTTCAGCACGTCAAAGCAAATGAAACCTGAATGAATCACAAACAGCAATTCCTTCATTATTAAACCTCCAGTAATTTACAAACTTTTCTGACAAAAAACAGAAGCAAATCCTCAAAAACAGAAAGATGCCACATTTAAATTATAATCTAAATCCATTTATTGTAAACAGAAAATAAATTGTTTTCTTGACGATAGATTGCGTTATTAATTTAATAATCTTATCTTCGTCAGTGCATGAGCCAAATGAATGACAGGTTGTTTATCAGTATTTTGCTTAAAGTTCCTTTTATAATATTTTGTCAGAAAACTCAATGATTTTTATTTGTATTTTTTTTATTTGTGTTTCTGACGCAGAAAGGAACTGAGAACGGTTGCTAAGGCAGCCGACAGTGAGAAAATGGATTTTTGGTTCTTCAACAGTTTTTCTGTCTTATTTTGTTGCACTGAATTAATAATCCCAACATTGTTTCTGAATCGTCTTTTGGCCTCCGGCTTTGCGCCTGTAAGTAGTTCTCTTTACAGATCTGCATCTTTTATTTTGAGTGATCCAGTCTTTTCCCTCTTAAAACAATCCTTTGGTTAGCTAACGGTATCCTGGCACTTTCAGCTCAAGTCCAGGCAAATAAACAATCATTTAAACACAGCAGCTCACCTTGCCGGCCACTAGGGGCAGAATACTACAGAGGAGGCAAGATTCAGCGTCTTAAACTCAGAGAAAGCAAATTAAGGATTCTTAATCTCAGGGATCCCAGATTGAAGTTGCCAGAGTGGATAAGCCCAGACTACTGACCCTCCTTCTGGCTGCCGGCGGCCCCCTGCTGCTGCAGCAGGGACTGGCTGTAGAGGGTGGGCAGCGCTGCGGCGGCGTACTGCTGGATCCCTGAGTAGGCCTGCGTCAGCGCGTCCATGGTGCCTGCCGTGCCGTTGGTGAGCCCTGCGCCGCCAAGGCCTCCGTTTAGAGCCGCCATACCTGAGAGCATTTGAGCAACTTTACATAAAACCCAACAATAAAGAAAGGAGAATGCACTTACTCATTAGCGCTCCCACTGAAGGTTGTGTTTTATCCACACATACACACACAAACACGCACCGACAGTCACAAACGGTACCGTAAAATACACACCGATACCAAACACAGCGAACGAAGACGAGACGCACACACAGAGTTCAAGGTTCAAACAGCAGAATCAGGATGAGCGCAGCTGATGACGGCCAGAGCTGCAGGAACCAGCATGCAGCAAACCCAACATCAGCGCCACAAAAAGCACCACAAAATCACAAACATGTTGATGAAAACGTCTGAAACAGAAATAACTAACAATTAGCTACTTCTACACATCCATAAAAACACAAACACTTAGAAATAAATACATATTTTAAATGATAAATTACTACGTTATTTTTTTATTGTAGCTTGAAACAATTATTCTTTAAGGGGAGTTTCATTTTTCTTTCAAAAAGATTTTAAAATACGTTGGAATAAAATCTAATTTAAATCAAAAGAAGTAAAATATGCTGCGCATTGAAATAGCTTCCAGTGTTATGCAAAATAAATGGTTTTTACTTGGACTTTGGTTTTAAACTCTCCAAAAGTACGGAAGAACATTCATGTCATCATTTAAGTATTATTATGTATCCATAAAAAGACTAAAGTTTAGGATTTGATCTTAGTAGAATTTTTGTGAAAAATGTGGATTTAATACAGCATAAAATTGCGTTCAGCAATATTGAACATAAATATGTTTTGCATGTAATTTTGTTTTCTGTTGGCCAGAAGTACGGAAATCATGTAATTTAATAATCATTATAAATCCATAAGAAGATTCCGGTTTATTTATAAATTAAAATTTTTTCCAAGAAATATCTTTTACTTTGAAATAGCTCTCAATGTTACTCAAAATAAATTTATTTTTGCATGTAATTTCTTTATTTTTAAACTGTCCAAAAGTACGGAAGGACATCCATGTCATTGTATGCCCACAAAAAGATTAAAGTTCACTCATAGCAATCCTGTATCTTCAGAATACTTTTATTTTAGCAACTTTTTTCTAGATGAAAAATTGTCCTGAAAGTTGATTAAAAGTGATTAAAAGTCACCATCTGTTCGTTCGGCAGCCATGTTTGCTGATGTTCAGGAAACTTGGGGCTGAGGGACGATTTCTGCCTCCCCAGCCTGACGTCTCACTTGCAGGTCGAAGGAACTGCGGCGCGAGTTTAAAAAGGGAGCGAACGCAGCGGTAACACTCATTAGCTGCTTGTAACGGCTTAATATCGCGGCGGAGGGCAACTTGTCTGAGGAGGTCTGACATCGGCCCGGCGTCCTGTCGCCTCGCCGTCAGACACAGTGAAATAAATTATCGCCGCAGCGGTCCGGATTATAGGTCACTAATTTATTCAGGAATAATTGCACTGGTGACCTTTGCAATTCAATTAAGGTCTAGATGTGTTTAAATGAGGGCAGTTGGTGGCGGTGGGTGGATGGAAGAGGAAAGGGGCACCGAAAGGAGAGACTGGGTTAGCGGGGACAAAATGGGAAGCAAAATGGAAGCGACCCATTCGGTTAAAAGGACAGGCGTGTGTGTGTGTGTGTGTGTGTCTGTGTGAGTGTGTGTGTGCTGCAGTATGATTTACAGAGCGGATACAGCTACTCCAGCCGAGGAGCGGGAAAGGTCAGAGGAGAATAATGTGGAGGAAGAGGCCGGCAGTACGGGATCTCTGCTGTCATAACAGCTCTGATTAAGATCCAGACGCCGCGTCTGCTCAGAGGTCGAAGGCAGGAGACGAAGAACCGCCGGACCACCGACTCCATGCAGGGAAACATCTACCGTCTCCAGATTTAACTGCATCTGATGCTCCAAAAACACCCAAAAAGCTACTCTGGATGTTTCCTTTATTACAACATGAACTTCAGGTTCACATTCTGCCTCCTGGTTTGTTAAAAAACATTTTCCTGATTTAACGCCTTGAAATTGGGCCTCTGTCTCTTTAAGAACTTCTGATCTTTCTGAAGCTCATAAAACAGCTAAAGTTAGCAGCTCTGATTAGCAGATCTGTTTAAAACCGAGAAATAACAGCAAAACACAACAGCAAAATGACACAGCGCCACCTTGTGGCAGACGCACAAAACTGTCCACTCAGCAGCAGCTGGTTCTGTTGGGACGGCACTTCAGCACGCTTTACAGCAAGCACAACCCGGATCACAACCCGGGTCACAACCAGGAAGCAGATGGAGCGATGGAGGAATGGATGGATGGTTAATGAGTGGGAAGTGTGGAAGGAGGAAGCTCTGGCTGGAAAAAGGTTTTCATAAACCAGAGACACAGAGAGACAGCAGGAAGAACCAGAGTGGGACACATGCAACAACTACTTGGTTCCAATATGATGCTAGCTCAAATTATTGAGCATATTTTGTAAATAAAGCATATGTAATCAGATTTGTCATGTTTATAAAATCATGAAGTAGAGGTAGGAGTCAAACCCCGTCTCTCTGCTCAGCGGTGTCGTTGCCGTCGGGTGTGGATGGCTGAAGGTTGGGGTGGAGTGGCTGATGGCAGGGTGAATACTCACTGTTGATGCTACCTGCTAGTGCATTAATGTTGTTCAGGCCAACAGTCGCGCCTGCCAGGCCCTGCAGGGTGCCCAGAGAGGTCAGAGAGTTCATGGCACTGGCGTTGGAGCTGGCCGTTGTGCCTGCTGCGGGGAAACCAACAGGAAGGAGAGAGAGCGAGAGGAAGAGGAGAACAGGAGACAAAGAAGTGGATGTGTTATATCCAACATTCAGCAGCTCTCAACAAACACAGACAGATGGTTTTAAGGTGCTACGTGTAGCATTGGAAGGTTTAAAGACGCCAGACTCAGATCAGCTGGTGCATTACTGATGCTACACCATGTGAAAATAATGATTTATCGTATAAATGTGCACTTTTTCATCCCATGTGACACGTTCGTTCAACTGAAAGTTTTGAGATGCTTCATGGACGAGCCATCATGGTGCAAAAATGTATTCTTATTCATTTCATTTTCTGATGGAGAAAGTTGCAGAAACAGAATCAAATGTTACTACAACCGTTACAGGGCGTCCAGGCATCCTTAAAAAGTCTTAAATTAGTGCATCTAAAATTAAGGTTCAAATGTCTTAAATTTCTATGTTGTTTTTTTTTCTTGCAGGACTTTTCTGGGAGGCAAAGGTCTGAGTCGCATGCAGACATCATCATTGCGTTCTGTGACTGAGATGACTGAGACATTTAAGTGAGATGAAGCGAATGGCCTGTTAGCATCGTCTGTAGTTGTTGCCTTGTGGATCAGAATCGTTCAGGAACCAAGGCTCTAGATTCTGACATGGTGATAAAACCAATCTAATAATGCAGATTAGCTAACATGAACAAAATGCTACAAGTAACACCTTTGGTAACATTTATTTTTACAATGAACTGCAACTTTTGAACCTAATTTGAAGAATTAGACAAAGATAAAAGCCCCTGTCTATAAAGCAGACATACAACCATTGTAAAAAGAAAGTACACCCCTTTGCTGTTGCAACGGTTTTCACAGACAATTTCCTGATGTGTTCAGGATTGTTGTTCTGTTTAGGATCCAGACAGATGGACTCTTGGTTCATTCAATAACTGGATGAGCCCAAACCATCATGTCTCCACCACCGTGCTTCACAGTTGTCATTTTCGCCAACATCTCTTTGGCCTCATCTTGTCCTTCATCCAGATGCAGCTTTGCTAACCTGCTGCCATATTGTTTCTAGACAGAAGAAGCTTTTTCCTTCAATCCTTTGAGTCAGTCATACTGGTTCTTTGTCATGGCAATCATTTCTCTGACTGGTTGAATCTGCTGGGTGATTGGCATATTGGGAATAATCTTCCTAAGATATTTGACCTTCTTCACTTGAAGGAGGAACTTCCCTGCAACCCATAAAGGGTAAGCCTCCCTTTTCTAGTCGAGAACCATCGTCCCAGTCTTGGAGCAGCTGATTCCATCTCAGCTGCTAACTGTTCCCAGTGCAAGCTGAATGATTTGGCCAGAGAGGGTCAGCAGAACCATATCATCCACAAAAAGAAGAGACAAAATCCGCTGATCCCCAAACCAGACTAGAAATCCTGTCCATCTAAGCTGTGAACAGAACCAGAGATATGTTGCCGGAGTCAACATGCAGGAGATCGGGAATAATGCAAGATTCAATTTATTGGTCGGGCTACATTCCTTCCCTCAACTATGGTCCCGAAATTTGGGTCATGACCAAAAGAACGAGATCCTGGAGACAGGAGTCCGAAATGAATTTCCTCCACAGGACGTCGATTGGGTGAGGAGTTTAGAGTCGCTGCTTCTCCTCATCAAAAGGAGTCAGATGAGGTGGCATTTTTTCCTGATGAATTCAGGCTGGTTCCTGCAGGAAGAAGTCCAGGAGGGACTAAGACTTTTGGCTGGACTGGAGTTGGATGTGGTGACTGAGAAGGGCGATGTTTGGGCGTCTCTCCAGAAGCCTCTCTGGAGGACGTTGGACTTTGTATATTGAAGAGCTGCAACTGTTGTTGACATCTTTCCTTCCTGGCATGGCATGAATTAAGCACTTTAATTTGGATTTTCTTAGTTGCGATTAAATTCCAATCATTTCTGACCTAGGAGAAAACAGGGGTATACTTTCATTTTCAGGTCATTGAAACTGCAAACTGGCAGGAACACAGCGTCCACACTGTTCATCGGTTCATTCCCTAATCATTTACATGATGGTTCCTCACACATTACTGGATTCAAATAAGTTGGAAAATCCAAAAAGAAAAAGAATCACCAAGACAAATGAAGTCAACACAGGAGAAAGACACAAGGAGGCACTGATATGTCAGCGGTGGAGGGTGAGATGGAGGGAAATGCGGTGCACAAAGCTTGCAACCTCCTTCCTTTTCAGACAAAACAAAACAGAGATTGAATCTATTCATTTACCCTTCATCTCATCAAAGCGTTGCCAGCAAAGCAGGATTGCCGCTGAATGTATTAGGAGATGGTGTGGCAGAGGGAGCATTATGTCAGCACACGTTGCAAAACAAAGACGCTGGCCTGTCTCCATGCAGAACGGTCTATATTTATCAAACTAGAGTGACGTTTTCAGTTTCATTGACACATGCAGTATAGCAGCACTCATTCACAGCGAGCACCACAACCTGAGTGTGTAATATTCAAGGTTGGAGTGACATTTGGCACCAGAGAGAGAAAGAGGCGAAAAGTATGGAGAGAAGGAGCGAGACGAGGAGGAGGAGAGACAAGACAAGAACGGGCATTTGGAGCAGCGTGAGCGTTGAGGAGGGGGAAGAGTGGCGACTGAGGGAGGAAGAGGAGGAGGAAGAGTGGCGGCTGAGGGAGGAAGAGGAGGGGAGGCTGATTTTTCATATTCATGCTCTGCTGAGAGGGTGCTGCTGGAGCGCGGCCGAGCCGACATGAGAGGGTGGGGTGATGGAGCAGAAACAGGGAGCTTGTCAAAAAGAGGGCAGGAGCAGGAGATGAGGGCAACAAGGAGAGACGGAGGAGGAAGGAAATCTGAAGATGGTGGTGTTTAACCCGAGACAACCTGGTGTGTTCAAACCCACATCTGCGAGGCGGACGTTATCAACACGCACCCCGTCTGTCGGGGAACAACAGCCTGAGAGACATCTGGAAACACAACATGGAGGTGGAAACACCTGAACCTGACAGACATTTAGGAAAACGCTCATGCACACACATCTACAACGCCCGTATGATGGGGTGATGACACGCCACAGGATGCTGAAAGACGAGACGCAAGGAGGCCAACGACATCAACAGTGGTGGACACACACACGGATGGAGACCGGAGCGATGACGATGGGTGGAGCTGATGGTTTGGCCGGCGTGCCAGGGTCATGAAGTGACAAATGGTAACAGCGGAAAGCGAAGGCCGGCGTTGGGCGGCCCGCCCGAGCCGAGCGGCTGCGGCGTTACCTGGGCTGGCCAACGCTCCCAGGGAGGCGGCGCTGGAGGACAGGGGGTTTGCGGTGGAGGGGCTGGCTGAGTTTTGGGCCGCCGCCGCCGCTGCCGCTAAAGTGGCCAGATTCTGCAACTGCAGAGCGCTCATACCTGGAGAGAGGAGCCAGAGAGGGTGGTGTCAAAGCTGGGGGACCGCCTGGGCCGGACCGGGACAGAGGTGACCGCCGGAGAGCGCGTATTCCCTCACAAATACACCTGGAAACAAGCTGCTTTCTGCTTTCTCTTCAAACAAACTACACAGTCTTTGCTTCAGAGTGTGAAGGTAAACACTCCAGCAGCTGAATTCACTAATAAGTCCCAAATGGGCCTGAATCAGTAAAAGCAGCTGCTGTAGTGTTTAGTCCTGGTGTGTTTCTCCCAGGCAGAGCTGCTCTGGAGGCAGAAATAATCAGAGTGATTTAGTTCAACTTATGTTTCTCCCTTTCAACAGCACTCGATTAAAACCCTGCGGAGGGGCCTCAGAAACTCAGAGAGGAAACTAACCTTTTCTAAAACAGCTCTGTAGTCTGTTCCATCTCTTTAAAAATTCAACTCCTGCAGGTCATTTTGCTCGAATATTTGCAGCTGAAACCAATTAAAATACACGGCACATGGAAACACATCAAGCTCCAGGCAGATTAATCACATTTTTCAGATAACTTTAAGTAGCTAGTAAAAGAGGACTTTAACGATTTAGTTTAATGTTTATGCTGTTCTACGGTAGCCCGGATGGTGCTGGTGCTTTCTGTTGCAATCTACAAGTCAGCCACTAGATGGTGCTAAAAGCTACACTGTATTTGATGGGTTGTGAATAAGACTGTCGTAACATCGTCATAAACATGACATAACACTTTAAAAACATGAGTTAATATTTATATTCATTCATTTATATTCATGAATATTTATGACTGTTGTCATAAAGTGTCATTCAGTAAATCATGACACTCGATTTTGTTTAGTAATGGAATACAGTTTCAATATTTCACTCTTCCTAATGATAAACATTTCTGAAAAATTGCTGTTCGTTATCAAAACACCAATTTATGTTGATGCTCTTATTTTGAAATGTTGTGTGTTAGGGAGAAGCAAAAAGAATAAGTGTTGGTGAAAACGCTAACGTCGCACAATTTGCCTGCTATTTTGTCTCAGTAAGTCGTAACAATGAGTCAGATAAATAAGTTTGACTAATTTATAAAAAGGAAACTTAAATCGACAAGTTTCATCAGGAGAGGCTGAAAACGCCGACGATGTCATGCATCGTACAAACGATTACTTTGGATTTTGGTCCAATCAGACTCGAGATGCGATCAATAGTTCGGATCTCATCTGGACTGAACATTTATCTCATCTGCATTACAAAGAGTCCAACGGTTCCCTTCGCTGTCTGATGCTTCAGGAACTGCCAGCTGCCTCACCGAGACCAAATGTTCCCCAAATTGGGCCACAACAAAGTTGCTTCAACCTTTTGTCGTAAACGAAAGCAGGAAAAGCACGACTCTCTCTCAGCATAATTAACGTCTCCATGCTAACAGCTGATTGATACCTAAGGGCGATAAAACGTCAGCATCGGCTCTCGCTGAACATCTTCATCTCTGACAAGCAGAACTTGGATGCCTCCAACACATGAGCTTGTTAAAGTTAAGGGTGGCACATATGAGGTGTATGTGTTGTATATACAGCCTGGGTGTATATACACTCCTATGGGAGTACGCACATGTAGAGACACACAAACGAGACGCAACGAGGAAAATACATCTTGTTAGACAGAGATATCCTTCACCCAGACAACCAAACTGAACGATGACAACAGATGGCTGGATTCATCACTTGGATTCACACTTCTGATTGGTAAATTAAAAGGCTTAAAAAGAGACAGAAAGGAAGAGAGGAAGAGGCTGGCGGCTCTCAGAGTCCTCGTCTTGTTTCCAGACTCCGAGTCGCTGCAGCCGAGCACGAGAGCGCCGAGTTTCAGGGCGGCTCATGCGACGCGTTTGCACAAACGATGTGTGCGACTCCTCCACTCGTCTCTGCTGCTCGGGAACACCGCCGCAGCCAAAACCAATTGTGTTTTCAGGGCGATTTTCTCCAATTTTCTGTCATACACCCAAAGCTGAAATGGATTTCTATTTTCAGGCGAGGCAGGAATAAAAACAGCTGTCACTCATTCTATCAAAGTCGAACAAAACACATGCTCACAGCCGTGCTAATTCTGGCCGTGTCTTACTTTAGCAGCCAGACAATGGAGCAAATGAGCAAGAAGATGTGCAACTTTACGGAGCGAATGGTATCGATCCGCCTGTGGAACGGGCCGCATGGACCTGATTTGTTTGTGAAATGCAACACGAGCATTAAAGGTTCTGTTCTTTGTATTTATTGCTGCAACCTTTTATTTTCCAATCTGGTACTTTCTCTCTTTCTCTTCTTGCCTTTGTTCTAATTTATCCTTCCTTGACCTTCTGAGCTGTTTTCCTCTCTTTGACTTTTCCGTTTAGCTAATGGCCTTTTCCTCCTTATTCTTCAAGGTTTTTATTGGTCTCCACTTTTAATTACGAGTTTATTTCTCCGTTTCACTCACTTTCTTAAATGATTGTCGCAAAGTCCATCTAGTGTTTCTGCTTCTCGCTACGGCAGCCCGACTCTAATACCTTGATTTATCAAGTCTTTGTCCTTGGAATGGTTTTGATTCAAAGTCTGGTTTTTGTCCTTGTTAAGCACAAGAATGTGTTGAAAATATGAGATTTTATTGCATCTCTACCAATAGAAGTTATAATCCCAGGCTTGGTTCGTCATCTGACCCCTTCCAGATTAAAAACCAGAATATGTTCAGTTTGATCTGCACAAATAAACTAAAGCTGATCAGTGAGAAACTTCATCAAACAAAATATCAGCAATTCAACTCATACTCCCTTTTAATCCACCTTACTTTTTACTTTTTTAAATACAAAAAGTATTTTCTGGTTCTGGTTCTGCTGGAGGTTTCCTCTTGTTTAAAGGGAGTTTTTCCTCCTCACTGTCGCCACATGCATGCTCTGGATGAGGGATTCCTGCCATGCAGATTGTCTTGGAGATATTTTTTGAACTAGATCAACAGGAATGGATGAGATTGGAGTGAATTAAGATCTAAAAGTTGTGGTTGCAGTGTGCCCATTAGCAAGGCACTTCGGTCTGTTACCAATAAATTATTGGTATTTATTGGATTTTCTCAGCAGTTTTCTCACCAGGCTGAGTTTCTTTTATTTTTTATTCAGTACAGATGGATTAATTTAGGTTCATAGTGGATCTGGGCTAAAATTCTATAATTTGTAACATTTTTTAACACGAAAACTCAGCAGGCTTTTAGGAAGTGTTTGTTGTTGTTCGAACTGATTTCTAAGGTGAAGCCATTTTATTTTAATTCCATTTTTAATTGTGTCTTCTGTTTTTAAGCATGTTGTTGACTGCTGCAACATTTTCTTTTATTTTCTTCCTCTTTTATCTTTATTTTTCCATTTTCTGCGGTTTGATTCATGACAGCAGCGACTACAAAGCAGCTCTTCTTCTGTTTCTATCTTTCTCTCTTCATGCAACCTTTTCTCACCCTGTTTTTCCACAGCGGCTCTTACTAGCATTTGTCAAAGGCTATCTCCTTCGCTGAACATACATTTCCCAGACAGTCACGAGGAGAAGAGAATAAAATCTCCCGGTTGGGGAGGAATGAGGCGCAGGCAGCGATGGGGAGGCGACTCGGAGACAAACGGATCAGAGTCGCAGGATCTGGGTTGTGCAGATGGTGCGTGAGCGGCTCCATTGTGTGTGAGCACATATGTGTGGAAGGATGCGAGCGCTCCAGCCCGCCGTTGGCTGCGTCTAATTGAAAGCTCATTGGTGTAATTGAAGCCTCTCAGCTCTTCAGCTCCTCGTGTTAAAGACTGGGACCAGATGTCATTCAGCTGTCTCACATCTCCTGCCAATCACTAATGCTCCCCGTCTCTTCCTCACCAGCGCAGATGGAGCACCGACGCTCTTCTCTCCACGCTCGTTCCAAATCCTCGCAGAGCCGATTTGTCAGCGTGATTTTAAGGAACACGAGACGCCGAGACGGGAAAACCGGGACGCAGAGCGTCTCTGGGAGAGCATGGTGGAAAACCGGAGCTTCAAATCCAACTTCTGACTCTAAACCACCAAGAAAAGGTCAGACCTCACCGGGACGATGGAGAAATTCAACCTAACCTCACGTTACAACAACCTGACAGAGATGAAAACTCATTTAATGCAAATATGATTACAGGTTTTTATATACAGTAAGAGAAAAACCTGTAAGAAGGGAAGGAATAAGGAAAGAGTTCAGTTTGGGGGAAAGATGGGAATCTGTGAAGAACAAGGAATGGAAAGGAAGCGAGAAAGGAATGAGGAGAGACAGAGAGGAAATAGGCAGTGAAGTCTGGAGACAAATATTTCTCCATAATTTTCTTGGAAAACTCTGAAACCAAATCCATATTCTCCCACTTATCCCGGCTGCGAAGGAATCCTGGGAAGTCGGCAGAAAATCTGCATAAAGAGGCTTTGAAGCTAAAGAGCAAAGAGGAGATGAAGGACGCGAGTCTCCACCATCGTCTCAAAGTCTTAAGCAACTTAAAGCTTAAAAATTTTGATTTCTCAATCGTTCTGATCTGATCTTTCTGGAAAGCTTGAGGATTATTACAAAGTGCACTTTTCCATTCTCAGCTTTTTCAGCTTTCTCTCTGCAAAACACTGTGTCTTTGACTTGCCAATCATTCCTTCCTAAACAGCAGCGAACGCCTTCATCTTTGCTTTGAACCTGCAGAAACTGGCTCTGGTCCTCCAGTAGATGGCGCCAGCCCGCAGCGCTGCACTCTCTCCACCTTTCTCCCGTTTCTTTCCTCCTTTCTTGTGATTCATCTATCCCTGACAAAGCCTTGCCGCTGCCGCTACACGCCCTGGGCACAACTCTTTGCCTGGCCTCATTAAAAGATCAAGACAAATCTTAGCAACGGTTAATAAATCTTCAGGGCAACGAGCTCTCTTTACTCCGCCACGCGAGTTCATCTGTTATGCTCTTTGGTCCTCTTTTAGAAGTCTGTGGAAATAAATATATTACAACAAAGAGAGCAGAGCCGTGGTAGATTGTGAGCGTGTTGACGGACGACTCACCGGCCATCTGCTGGATCCCGCTGAAGGCTCCCAGGTTGCCGGAGGAGGCGGCCTGCTGCAGCAGCTGAAGGGGAGACAGACGCAGAGTGAGCCGGGCGGACGCAGCAAGGAAACGCCGAGAAGCGGCTGAACTTCCCGGCTCAGCGCTCGAAGAGTAAATGAGCTGCTAATATAGTCTGATCTCTCCTCAAAGCGAGCGCCGTTTGCATTCCTGCACAGTTCTCCAGACAACTTGTGCATGAAAGCTCTAATCTGACTGACTAATTAGATTCCAAAACAAATCAGGAATACTGATGGCGTCAGAAACTCAGCCTTCGAAGACTCAAATTAACAACAAATTAACATCTTGTTTCTATTGTGGGAATTTCTTTTCAACAACGGCGGAGAGAAAGAGAGAGAGAGAGAGAGGATTCAAAGAGCAGAAAAATCTCTCAAATAAATCAATATCCAGTAAAGGAGCGCCTGTTCTCCCCCCAGCTAATCCAGACTCGCTGTGGTTAATTTGAAAACTGAAGCAGAATCGAAACAAGTCTCACTGAAAACGGGGGAAAAGTAGAGAAAGATGAAGAGAAAAAGCTGCAGGAGAAGAAGAAACGTCCCCATCAGATGAAACTCAGCGATTCTGCAGGGACTCAAAACCTTTTGAGATCCGTTTTCCTGAACTGATTGGAGGAAAATCCCAAAAAGGCTTAAAAAGTAGTCACTCTTTCTTTAAATTAACTGTTTCAGAGCAAACAGATGAAAAGCAGCTTTCAAATGAGGATTTCAGCAAACGCAGAAAAATAACCTGAAAGACATCAAAAACCAAATAATCCGTTTCTGATCTCGTGTTTTCCAGCGACTGTGGCCACAAAAAAGTGAATTTATTCAACATATCTACAGCCAAACACGGTGGTGGCAGTGTGATGATCTGGGCCTGATTTAAAACCACGGCCTCTATTACCTGACTGTCAGGTTGTGAGCTCCAGGTGAAGCTCTCATTGGTTCTGCAGGACTCTAAATGGGTTTCCAGTGGCCTAGTCAAAGTCTGGCTTGAATCTGACAAAGATCCAACCTTAAGGATAAAGTCCTGCGCAGTGACATTTTAGACTAACTGCTTTTCCTCAGATGTTCGTTTGATCATCAGTGAAAAAATAAAACTTTTAAATGTTGAGGTGACGAAACGTCCATGTCTCTAATGAATCTGCTCCACTAAATGCATTCAAAACTTTGAAACTAAGATCAGAAAACATGTTTTCAGCTCACATTTGACGTTTTGTAAGCGTGAAAATCCTCCTAAACATTCCCTCTGCGCTGCAGGGCGGCTGATCGACCTGCAGCATCTGCCAGCCCTGAAACCAAACACTGAGAAAGATTTGCTTCCTCGTCCGATGGCTGAGATTCAGACTGGTTGGATTAGATTAGATTAAGCATTTGGTGATTTTAATTTCTAAAATTTTAATACTGAGATCTGAGCAGTTGATCTTCTTCAACCTGATCTTAAATCACATTATTATTATTATTATTTACTGAAATGAACTGGGCAGGTAAGGATGATGATGTCAGCATTTTAAGGGAACAGCTTAATTTCATCTTTGACGTAATTAAAAAATCTAAAGGAATCAGAAACGTTGCAGGAATATCTAGATGTCATCCTGTCCCGAAGATGAAGGAGTTTTGGAGGAAAACATTTAAATCGATTCAGAAACAAAAGTTAAAGATGTTCTGGAGGATCTGCTGAAGTGAAAGGAGTCAAAGAGCCACGCAGGGCAAAGCTAGGAAGCTAAAAGATGTTAGCATCAAATGATCTCTAATGACGCAGAAATGGTCTGAGGATTTTACAAACCACTTCTGAACAGTTCGAATCATTCTGATAATAGATTCTGGTTTATACAGCCTACATTCATTAATCTGGTTATGGATGCATTTTTTCTGCTTCTCCTGTAAACAGGCCTCTGCAGGGCTAACTGGTTAGCTTTAGCTTTAGCTCGGATTCAAAGAGGAAGAGTGATGAAGGTGAGGGTCAGCTGCAGGGAGGAAGAGGAAAGCAGAGGACAAAAGGAGGCAGGGAGTATTTCGGGAGTCTTTCTGGTCGGGGCACTGACTGTGGCTGCGCCGGCCACGGGGCTGCAGGGTGTGACGGAGGAGGAGGAGCTGATGATGGAGGCGGGCGACGCGGCGGCGGCGACTCTTACAGCCAGGTACTGCGGGGTGAGGCCGCCCAGGCCCGTCAGGCTCCCCCAGGTGGTCGCACTGTTGAGCTGCTGCATCTGCTGCGCCAGCTGCTGCTGCAGACGCCGCTGCTCCTTGTCCTTCTGTGTGTCGGCAAACTTCACCACGATGGGAGACGAGCAGCCCTGAGGAGGAGAGAGGCGAGAACAGAAAGACTGTTACTGCTGCAAAACAATCACAGACAAACAAATTACAAAAACAACTTGAAGGTCAGGACTGGTCTATGGTCTAACCAAAACATGTCGCTCTTAGATAATGAGATTTTCCATTCAGTTTTTGGGCCTCTGTCACTTTAAATACAAAGAAGCTGCTGCTGGCCACGCCCCCAGGTTAACCTTTACACTCTCACATTAAAATGGCTGCAAACAGATTTGCAAATATACAACCATGCATCTTTGAAAAGCAAAAGTGGAGCCTCCTGCACAGCCAACAGGAACACAGCAAGTGGTTTCTGGACGGTAAGTCACCAACAGAACTCTTGTCTTTTCCAGCAGCCATTGTACAGGAAAACCAGCTGACCAAGTCAGCTCCACTCTGGTTAGTGGAGCTAACAGGACTGGTTATACTGGGGTTGCTAGGTAACGGGCAGTGCCTCCTGATTTGTGACGTTACATTCTGGAGGTTTTTGAAACGGCTCATTTTCCAGACATCATAAAAGACAAAGTCTGACAAAAAACCGGCTGGGAGTTATTTTTGCTTTTGAAAACCCAAACGAAAGTACAGAAATGTGCAAAATGTGAATTTTCCAAAATGTGTCCCCAGTAAATGCTGCATGTAATAAAGGCTGTGATGTGCAAAGCGCGTTAGCGACTCAGGACACGCACCCAGTCGCTCAGGAAACTCTCCTCTAAAGCCAGCGGGGCTTTCTTCTTCTTTCCCCACAAGGGCTCAGTTATCTCTGAGTCCAAAACGGTTTCACCAGACACTGATTTCCCGACTTCTCCAACTATTTCATCATCTTTTATGAAGTGAGACTTGATGTGCGAGTGTGTGTGTGTGTGTGTGTGTGTGTGTGGAGAAAGTGAGAGTGATTGGGATAACCATCAGGAGAGGGCGACAGGGCAAGAGGGAGATTCAGAAATGTGGACAATCAGGAGTAATTGTCTGGATTTCTGCTGCCGGGTTGCAGAGACAAAGCCAGGCTCACAAAGGGACCGGCGCGTCGGACATGAGACGGAAACGCGCCGCGTTCTCTGATGAAAGTTACAGTAAAGCTCAAAGTGATAATCTGTTGCAACACACCATTCCTCGTGCAGTGCAATCAAAGCCTAACTAGGGGCAAATCCGTCGGAAAACAAAGGCAATCTGCCACTGGAGGATGGAAACCTTTTGATGGAAACATTTAGTTTGAGGCGGGGATTCGCGCTTGGCGAAGGAGGGAAAGGATTCGGCTACTTTGCAGATGGCGGCGCGCGCTGAGAGGCGCAGAACGCCGAGTCTCTGGGACCGAGGGAGGGCAGCCGCAAAGACTCACAACAACCAGAGCGCCAATCTGAGATTTCATGAAAGCTTCCAGAAATTTATTGATTCCTTCTAAATGTTCTTGACCTTTCAGTTTTGCAACAGTTTCTAAAAAGTTTAGACTTTTCCCTCAATTCTCATCTCCTGTCAATGTGCTGTCTGGAATTTCTCCCATTCAGTTGGATTTCTCCGGTTGGATTTCAATCAAGCCAATCAGCAAACAGGTTTTCTGCGCCGTTTTCCTTCAGCTCTCTGCCTGTCGTTTGTAACTGGCAGCAGAGGAAATGACCGGAGCCGTGATGGCAAAACGTTTGGTTCCACTCAGCCAATGAGATCCCTTGGGATTTACAAATAAAAAATAAAAATATTGCACTGAAAAAATTATTGCATTATTGCACAAGCTGACATAACTCACAATTTTCCTAAAAATCTTTGCCTAATACAAAAAAAAAGTTGGATCCTAGAACCAAATCTAAGTAAATTTAAATGAAAACTGAATGATAAATTATTTGCAACACAAAGCATCTAAGAGTTTGAAATATAAACTGGTGATAAACTTAGAGACATCTGAACGAATCGTTCTCATTTCATTTTCTCATTAAATGTAAAATATTTAAAAAGAAAGGTTTTCCAATATACATTTAAAGTGACTTTCTAGAAGTTGCTGCTGTTTTGTCCAAATTGATGAGGTGGAAGCTGAAGATCGCGCGTCTTCCCAGACGAAGAGTCGCCCATGAAACTCATCAACCACAAGAAGAAGAAGAAGAAAAAAGCAACGTAATTACAAAGCAGCGCTGGCGATCATCACCTTCCAGCATGACATCAAAACTGCAGGCTGCCGTCGCTCACAGCCAAAAAAATGGCACCTTTCTTCCTGTGGCAACATTGGAACCGATAATTAACATGGCAGGTTGCTGGAGAGAAATCTGGCAACATTCAGCTGCTGCAACCGGATTCAGTTTTATTAAAGTTATTTATTCTTGCAGTTTAATGACTTTATTCTTGGTTGCTATCACTAGCGTAGCGTGGAGGCTACGCTAGCGATAGCCTACATGCTGTATTTCAGCTAGCTTTAGCTTTCTAGCTAATTTTAGCTCATAAACTGCTGTGACCTTATAGTTTATTAACTCTCCTTAGCTGAACCTTTTCAATCCCCTTCAACAGTTTTGCAAACTTTTCTGAAGCTGATTTCAAATTATTCTGCATTTATTTCAGCATTTATGCTGCATTTTGACAGAACTTTACATTTTTTAAATTTATTGTTAGTTTTTATTTATCTCTTTCCTTAGATGAGCCAGGAGGATTATAATCTGCCTATTTAAATTCAAAGAAGCATGAATTATTGTGATGTTTAACCTGGAAGTGGCGGCAGCGGCCCGGCGGCCCGCACCGCTCCGTTTGCCATGAAAACACTTTGCTTTTGTTGTTTCCAGGGACCGAAACGATAAACTTTCACTACCAGGAAAACAACAAGTAAAGATTTGAATACTTCCTGTCACTTTCTGGATTTAAACACTGAATAAAGGAACCATACTGATCTCAAATTAAGTTTCTAAATTATAAACCACAGCAAGTCAGTGAATGTCACATGAAGATTCACTGAAGATTCAGACTAAAATTCCCTCAAATTTTATTCTTTGTTTGCAATTTTTCTCAAATAGTTTGAGAATCTGGATAAAAGAATAAGTGTTAGCTCTCAGTAAGTTGTTTGCATTGAGCTGCAGTTTGCAACAACCTTCACATCCTCTTTCACCCTGAGATGTTTCTAGTGAATAGAAGCACATTGACACTGCAGATGTGGAAACTTTCAGTGTATTAGTAATCTCAGAAGTTAAGTGTTGGATTCTTTTAAAAGTGCCAGGAACACAGAAAGCTGACAGGCTTCATGTGTGATGGGCTAATAGCGCGCCGCGGCGGTGACTGGCAGGTGGGGCGCGGTGGGCGAACGCTGCGACAGCCTGTCGTTTCAAATCCTACAGAAATAAGCACCTTGGTGATTCTGGCATCCAGATTTAGATTCATGTCACTCCTGCATGGATCAGGTGATGTACACCCACCGCAAGGTCACAAACTTTAAATCAGACTTAGTTTTTAGCCTGCAGCTAAGCCTTTCACTTTATAAGGAAACCTATTGATCTTCCACTCCAAGCTCTCAGAAAAACGTCCAAAGGTTGAAGGACTTCCAGTGTTTAAGAGTCTCCAGCTGTTTCCACTTAATTTCATGCACATTTTGAGACAGTTAAGTTCATTTCTATCTTCTGGTTTTGAAAAAAATCAAATGCTGACGCTCTGATTGCTGAGTAAACAGGAAGTAGACGTTTAAAGGTTGCAAACTGGAACAAATCTCAGAGGCTTCAGGAAACTGTTGCTGCTGAGTTGACATTGTTCTGTCATGTAAGCTAGCATTTGTGATGCTACATGCGGTCTGGAGACGTAGACAAAGAAATGCAATGCTAACACATGCTAACAGTGGAAACTGCTAATTAGGTGTGAGGTCAAAGGTCACTGTGTCAAAACTTAAACTCTTTCTCTGGAAAAGCCAAAACCGCCAACAGCTAGAGCTTTATTTGGCCAATTTGAGGAAGTTATTTTAAATGTTGCTGCTTCTATCAACAATGAATTCAGTATTTGGAGAAACATCATTAAAAGGACAAACTAAAAATGATTTTAGATGTAAAATCATTTCAGCTGTGGATCCATTTATCTGAAGTTTGGACTCTTCTGAACAGATGAGCTTTAAAAAGGTATGGGGGTAATTTATTCTGAAAGTCCTGCCTCTATCATCCCATCAGCAGCTGGATCCTTAAAACGTTTCTTATAAAGAGCTGAAAGGAGCCAAAGGTCATTTTCAAAGGTCAAATGGAGGTGAAGTAGTCAACTTGAACTGCCAACATGAAGTGCACAAGACTCCACTGCAGAAGAAAGAACAGCAGCATCTCTAGGAATATATTTAATTCCATAAATGCTGGTTGTTCTATAGTTTTTAGGATTTTTAAAAACTTTTTCCGGCTTGTAAAAAATGACAGATCTAAACGCCACACGGATCTGGAGATAATTATCCCGTCTTTCACGTCCCGTTTTGGGTCAGGATCTGTTTACAGTGAAATTTAATCTCCTGTCCGATCCGTGAGAGATTAAATATCTGAACTTCTCATTTATTTACCACTCAAATAGCCTTTAAATGTCAAAGCATCTCAGCTTCCTCTGCTGTCTGACGTTTACATGAGCTCACCGTTCCAAACATGCAAACACGGCAATTTCATTTTACTTCTACTTTATTTGACAGATTAACACTAAACAGCTTCCAAGAGAAGAAAAATAATTCATGATTTTCAAATATTTCTGAACAGAAGCATCATCAGCCGACGGCTTCGGTTTATTTCCTTCCCTGAACCAACGAGAGCAGAAATATGGACGATGTTGGCGTCTGCAGCAGCGGCTCCCGCATTAATGCACAATAAGGCATTTTTATTGTTTCAATCACTAAATAGGAAGTTAAGACACAAAACTTTACCAAATATTTTAGTGTGTTTTATTCCAAGTGTATTAATTTATTTCACAAAATGCCTGTTGAGATGTTTCTGCTCTGCAGCTGTTTGTGGCCGACTTTCATTTTACTTTAAAGACTTGCAACAGCTTTTTGGATTTGCAAACATTTTGCAGGCTCTGTGTTGAGACAACAGCCTGAGTTTATAAATGATCAGGTGTCTTGGAGTCATAAATGTATTTTTAAAACCGTGTGAAAAGGTTAGCATAAAGTCTGGCGGCGGATGATTGGAGCGTTCTGGATGTGCGTCCGCTCCTCTCAGCAGCTAATTTAACTCGGATAATAAATACAGACAGTTGGCAATTTCCACCAGCGCTGGCTTGTGACACGTAAATCTGCCTTGGGTGTTTTTTACCTCGGTTAGAAAGCCTCCCGTACTGATTAATCTAATCCCGTACTCTCCCTCTGCTGTCATCCCTCGCTCCCGTCGTCGGCGTTTAAACGTCTTCCCTCTCATGCTCCACTTAAGCTCTTGTTTAAATGCACTTGAATATTTCTGGTTAGGTGGGAAGGAAGCGGCGCGCCATCATGTGACCTTCATGTGCCGCGATCACAGAAATAATAATAACGTGAAACGAGCGCTAAGTGGAATAAAGTATCCATCTGACCTCCAACACGTTGTTCAGATTTCAAACTGGAAAGTCTTGAAAATTTCTGGAGATCAAACATGAATTCAGATTAAACAAAGATGGCCGACTGGGAGGACGTGATGGCGACAGATTCTGGATTAAAATTAAAAGAAAAACTGGACCCTCTGATGATCATGACTGTTATAATTTCTTCTGTGTTTCTGGCTCTTTGCTTTCTGATTGGCCGAGTTTTGGTTTGTCGTTGGGCATCAGATTTCAGGCCGAGGTGAAAATCCTTGATTTTAGATCAGAGCGTTCCCAACGACTGTACCAAATCATCCTGAACACGGTAAGAATGTCTCCTAAGATTATTTTGAGACATATTCCGATGGTTGGGGCATCATAAAAATCGAGGCCAGCGTTCTCTTGGAGTCATTCTGGTAAATCAGCCAAATGTCTGACATGTTTTCGCCTGCTTCATGTTGTCAGGCACATGAACACATGACCAGTGAAATATATCTCACAGCAGCTGCATTTCCACTGGCCCTAAAATTAGTGAAATAACTTTCCTTAATAGGAATTTTAAAAACTCAAGTGTTTTGGTAAAACGATTTTTGTGCTGGGATGAAACAAATTTTTGGCTTTTTCATAAATTAGTGTTTCACAGACACAAGTGGAAACATTTTTATTGCATCATGAGTCACATGATCAACAACCAGATGTTGCTACTGATGGAAATGACAAAGACGACAGGAAGTAGCAAAAATTCTGGTTCATTTACGTGTAATTTTCTTATCTAATGTAAACAATATAATTGTGAAAATCGAGTTTTGTGCAAGTTTGTAGGAGGAACGCGGCTAATCGCGGCTAATTCAGTTTTTCTGCTGACTGGTTGATTTGATGTGAAACATTGAGATGCAACAAACCGTTAAAAGTCGTAGATGCAGATCAACAGAAACACAACGACCCTCTTCTGGGTTGCTGTTCCTTTAGATGTGCCTCAGTGAATCACTCGCTTTCATTACCGCCTGACATTTAGCGCGTGCGCCGCGGCGCACCTGAATGCCACGCGGTAATGAGGACGGATGCGGCCGTGACAGAACCATCAATGGCGGCCGGACTCGGGACACGCGGTGGGAACGTGTTCGCTGGCGAGCATCACGGTCCGGCTCCGTGTCGCGGCTGCAGGGCTGCAGGGCTGCAGCAGCGCAAGACAATAACCAAACTCTATTTACCAGACCTCATTCCCTCATTCGCACCCAAAGTAATTACTTTTAAATTGCAAAAACTGGGGAACATTAACAAACGGATGCGGCAATTTAGCTCGCCTGAGGCTAGACAGCTTGTTTTCAAATGGAAATGAAGGTATTTTGCTATTGTCCACTGCAATATTGTCGTGTTATGGTTTGAGGCTTTATTTTTCCCTCTTCCCCCCGTGTGCATGATAAAAGCGGCGCTGTTTACCGGGCCCATTGTTGCGGACGACTGCTCAGAGCGAGGATAATTCTGGCTTAACGCCGCCGTGGAGCACGGCGTCAGGAAGACGGACGTGCCGCCGCTGCAAACACTTGGCTGATGTCTGAGGTGTGACAGAACAAACGGGAAAACGGTGCCTTTCCTCGCAGGCGGGGAGCGTTTCCCCGTGTCAGGGTCACAACACTTCAATGGCGGCCGTGATTATCGTGATCAGCTCTAATGAAGGCCTTCAGGGTGAGCGCCACTCGCTCCTGTTCCTTTAACACAGCCTGTTATTACCACTTTTTGTTCCTTCGCTCTGACTCACTGCAGACCCGTCTTGTAACATGTAATTCTCTCCCAATAGCGGCCTGTCACGCTGCCCCCGTCACCGACCTAACAAGCCCGGTGGCGGCGCCGGCCGGCCGCCGCGACGGCCCTCCGGGTCGCCGGCCGGCTGATGAGGTCTGCAACAATGGCGGCGGCTCGTTGTCGCAGCGTGACGCGAGTCTGGCGGAGAAACTCTGGCCAGAAAAAAATAAGAAATATGGAGGCGATGTTTGATCCTGATGGAGCCTGAAAATGATTCCAGCAGGAAAAATGCTAACATGTTTCATCAAAACATTAAAGATTAATCTGATTTAAAGGAAAACAAGTCTGAGTGTTTAGAAAATCAATCAAAAATTATTAACAGAAACTGGTTTTACAAATTAAATTAAACTTGTTTTGGTTGTGCCTGCAGTTAATGGTCTTTCTACCACCACACTTTTTCCTTCCACTCAACATTCCAACAACAGTTTTTGTCAACATTTTATTTTAAAGCTTCAGATTAAACTGCTGAGTCGTCACTTGAGTAAATCGACTTGGATTCAGATTTTATTCTCCTGCTGTTTCATATTAGATTCTCTCTGCGACACGTTGATAGACTTATTTACAACAAAGTCAATTAACTGAGTAAATGACATCAGTTTTCAGAGATTCTGGCACAAAAAACTGGAAAAAACCCAAATCAAAATAGCTTTGATTTGGGTTTGTGAACAGATAAATCTGCTACTGATAACCCACAACAATTTATTTCTGAAAATTTGCTAGAAAAAAAGTTTCATTTTGAGTTTAATCTCAGAAACTTTCAAGAGAGGAATTTAGAAAATTTTCAGTTTTTAAAAGTCTTCAATGTGTTAGAAACTTTAGGAGCTTGAAAAGTTTAACATTTGTTAACATTTTTTTTCAGAACTTTTAAGAAAAACTTGGAAAATTCTGAAGAAATGTGGCTAATCAGAAATTTTGAGTACAAATGTATTCCTTTCTACTTTTATCTGAAGAGTCCCGAACACGGCGTTGTAAACGTCTACATGACGCCGTCACTGTTCTTTTGCTGCTTTACTGGTTGAAGACGCCGTGCTGCAGCCGGACTCGGTGTTCAGCTGCAGCCGGTGTCTGTTTGGCTGCAGCCGGTGTGTTGCTGCAGCCAGTGTGTTGCTGCAGCCAGTGTGTTGCTGCAGCCAGTGTGTTGCTGCAGCCAGTGTATTGCTGCAGCCGGTGTGTTGCTGCAGCCAGTGTGTTGCTGCAGCCAGTGTGTTGCTGCAGCCAGTGTGTTGCTGCAGCCAGTGTGTTGCTGCAGACAGTGTCTGTTTGGCTGCAGCCAGTGTGTTGCTGCAGCCAGTGTATTGCTGCAGCCAGTGTGTTGCTGCAGACAGTGTATTGCTGCAGCCAGTGTGTTGCTGCAGCCAGCCAGTGTGTTGCTGCAGCCAGTGTATTGCTGCAGCCAGTGTGTTGCTGCAGCCAGTGTGTTGCTGCAGCCAGTGTATTGCTGCAGCCAGTGTATTGCTGCAGCCAGTGTATTGCTGCAGCCAGTGTCTGTTTGGCTGCAGCCAGTGTGTGGCTGCAGCCAGTGTATTGCTGCAGCCAGTGTGTTGCTGCAGCCAGTGTGTTGCTGCAGCCAGTGTATTGCTGCAGCCAGTGTATTGCTGCAGCCAGTGTGTTGCTGCAGACAGTGTCTGTTTGGCTGCAGCCGGTGTGTTGCTGCAGCCGGTGTCTGTCTGGCTGCAGCTGGTTTGTGAAGTCGGGGTGTTTGGTTGTTGAGAAGAGACAGAAGCTGAAGAAGAGTGGCGTACCTCCATGGTCTGAGACTGGTGCATGGCTTTGATTGCATTCTGTGCCATGGCTCTGGTGGAAAACGTGACAAACGCACAACCTGTAAGGAGGGAGGAGGGAGGGAAGGATGGAAGGACAGTGGAAAGGAGGAGGGGAAGGCAGAGGGGGGAGGAGGAGGAAGACAAGAAAGAACAAAAACAAGACAAAAGGGTTGGACACGTCGTCGCTATAAAAAGAAAAACAGATTGATACAGAGAACATGTCACAGGTGGACAACATCGTTTTCAGTGGCTGGAAAAACGAGCATCATGACATCACATCCTGTCCCCCCCACATGAAACATCAGAGCTGCAGGCCTTCCTCACCTCCGTCCTCTTCCTCACCTCTGAATTAGTCAAACCTGAATTCTCACATCTTTGAAAATTTGCATGAAACTTTTTGAATTTATTTCGCTGGACGCCCAAAATTTTCTCTTTTGTTCGAGGGGAGAAAGACGAAGGAGCCGCGGGACGCCGGGATCGTTTTAAATCAGAGGAGAGGAGGAAGAGGAGGCGTGGCCATCTTCCTCCATGAAGGTTTCAGCCAATCAGCACGGCTGGTTGCAAGGCGGTCAGGGAGCGACTCAGAGCTGCTGCAACACGCTAGGCTAACCGTATGCTAACAGTCAACGACTCATTTTGCTGCAACTTTTGCAAAAATTTCTTTCAAATTTATTTATGCAATAATATAGTTCTCCAAAAAAGTTGAAATTGCTTCACATAACTTTCCTTTTCTGTTTTTCTCTCTCTGCTTATTCATCTTCCAGAATCCTGAAGGTTTACTTTAAATTTGTTTAGAAAAACTTCTGCAAGACATTAAGGAGGATTTCTGGGTTTATTCCTGGAATTAGCAAAAGATGAACATAGAGATGAATATTGTGTAATGTTAGCTAATTTATGCAGCAGTTTCACTAAATTTATTCGGTTTGCTTGAAAGAAAAATCTGCAATGTTTCTTTGTTTTTGGTTCTGGCTAATTGCTGGACTTTACAACTTTTCTAATGATTTTCTTTTATTTCTAAGGCTGCAGAATATTCAAAATATCACAACTTTTCCTCATGATGCTTCAGACTCTCTGCACCGACATCTTCAATCAGCTGAATCCAAACCAGAACTAATTCATCTGAATCCAAACCAGAACTAATTCCCCAACAGTTTTCACTTTTTATTATTAATGAAGAAAAAAACTGCATTTCTTTCTCCGTGCAGATTTTAGTATAAAAGTATTTTGGGGGATTTTATGTGCCTGAGTGAAGCTGGAGGGAAATATTTCATGGTTTTCAACATGTTCTGGCTAATTTTAAAAATCTGAAAAGTGTGGCAGGCCTGTGCATTTACTCAGAACTCTGAAGAAGACGAGCAAATAATAATTGAACGAAGTAATCAGAACCGTTTGGTTTAAGACTTGAAAGAGATTTTTTTGTCTGTAAATGAAGGTCAGTAAAAGTTGACCTTTGTCTCTGTTTTTGTTAAACAAGTTGATATTTTCCTCTGTGGATTTCATCTCACATCGCATCCGGACATGTTTCTCTCCTCTTTCTGCCCTTCCTCTGTCAGAGTTGATCACATTTCGGCCGTTAAAAGTTCGGCTGCAGCAGGCGCTGAAGGTCGCTGGATTCTGCAGCTCTGACCCACTAAACGCTCCGCCGTCCTTTTCCTGAGCTGAAAGGTCGTTAGAAAGCAGGTCACTCCATCAAATGAGTCAGAGGCCTGCCTATTTTAGACGAGCATCATTTAACTGCTGCTTGTTCAGGAGGATGCTGCAGAAGTAGATCACTGCTGCAGATGTGGCTCCAAACTGGTCCAAACTGGTTCAAACTGGTCAAAAACACATCAGAGGCTGAAACTTTTAGAAACGCACAGGAAAAATGCAGATTTATTCTGCTTTTGCTTCTTTGTCCTACATTTTTATGCCACACAAAACCTGATTTAATGCAGGTAAAGCAAATGATCAGCTCTCATCCACAGAAATAACTTTAACAGGACCCGTCTGACAACACGAAGTAGGCCAAGGAGAAACTAAGGCACTGTCTAAAAGTTGCACAGTTATTATTCATGTCACAGAAATGTTCTGTTAAAATGTTGTATTAAAAATTTAAAATAATTTGTTTGTGAACCTTTGCTGTTGATTTTTTGTTCTTCATTTGAAACTGTTGACACTTTAATATGGAGTAAATTTTCTATGGTGAAATAATTCGATAGCTGCAGTCAAACATGGTGGTGGCAGTATAGTGCTCTGGGCATGATTTGCTGCTCAACTTGGGAAACTTTCAGCAGGAAATCCACCCAGAATCTGAACATTTCTGCATCTCTGATGACTTTTCCATGCAGATCTGTTGGCTCGGTTGGGTTTTTCTCTTGTTTTCTGAAATCCTGTCGATCTGAGTTGGTTTGCTCCAACAGGAACTTCTCCCCTGCTGGCGCTGGATTCATGAATATTGAATCTGGTTCTGAATAAAAGCAACTTCCCGCCTGCTCGCTGCGCGTCTTGTTTTCTCCACAGTGCAGAGATGGGGACGAAGCCGGATCGCTAAAAATACCTCGTGGGCCGCATTCTGTCGTCAGCGGAGCGCCGCGCAGTCCTTTAATGAAAGTAGGGTAGCTCCCCAGGCCCAGCCATCCACTGGTGGTGTGATCCATATTTTATTAATAGCGGCGCGCTCGGCTGATTGATACTGTGGGTTTAAAGCAAGTTCTGCTAGGTGGGACTGCGGGCCGCTGAGATTTGCCAGCTCAGAAATCCTTAAAGACCGATTTATTTCCAACCTGATTAGAGGTGTTTATTGACCGGCCAAGTTGGGCCGCCAGCTCCGTCTCTGACTCGTGTCAGCCGCTAAGTGGCTTATATCGGCTCGACAGAAACCAGGATTTGGCCATCAGGTTTGAAATATTCATGAGGACAAAAGAGAGGAACAGAAAAGAGGATGGAAGACAGAAACAAGAAAAGGGAGGGAAGGAAGGAAAAAGAGGACAAATCGACCGAGGCGTGGATTCTGGGACAGCCGGGGTGAATTTAAAGCTGCAGCCGTTTAGTTTGGACTCAAACAACCTTGAGACGGAAAAAATAAAACAAAATATTCGCAACGTTTAACGAGCACAGAAGAAGATACGGGAACAGCGACAGCTGATTGGACGAGAGGAGGGGAAACAGGAAGAGATTTCCATCTCAGCACACAGAAACCACAGAGGGGCAGGAGAGAGCAGGAGGATGGCTGCGGTCGGGTCCGGTTAGGGAGGATGGAGCGACCCATAAAACGGGTCCTGTCCCTTTAAATGGAGCCACAGAACGGGAAGATGCAGCTCAGGTTTGAGCAGCGAAGTATGTTGGAGGCGACCACGGAAAACCAACCGGACCTGGTGGAGGTGGTATGATGCTGCGGGACTGTGAGACACATCAGGTTTCTCATGGTTTCCGCTCACATACTGCAATCATCTTCCTTCACAGAGGCACCAATTAAACGGACAACAGACAAACCTCATCAGTTTGTGTTTAACTCCAGGAAGTCGTGATACAGAAACTCAAACTCTTTGTTCCAGAGTTGAAGCATTATTTTTTTAAGGGTGAATTAATAACCTAATAATGAATCCATTGTGTGTTTTCTGTAATCCACTGGCTCCAGAGGAACAGATTCACCAATCGACACGTTTCGTTTTGGATCTTTAACCAGTTTTCTTTACAGAACTGGTCCAGTTTCAACATCTCAGTCCAACAACAATCCACCTGCTGAAGGAGGTTTTTGGTCTCTGGCACCGAATGCTAGCAGCAGCTATCGCTATTAGCCGCTATAGCTAGCAAACTGCCAACAAATCCATTCTAATCCATCTAACTTGTTTTCTGATTTGGATACAATTTGCTTCACATCAGAGACAGACTTTCTACTCCATATCCTCCGAGACACTAGGGGGCAGAGATGAGCACATGAAGTAACGGCTCAGATGTTGGCAGCAACATGGCGCCTTCTGTGAGAGCCGGTGGTAAATTTGGACCATCTCCCCTCTAATCAGGACGGTAGAAACTTGGACTCAGCAGTTTTCCAAGCTTTGATCCAAAAGGTTTGGGAACAAACCAAAAGTTTCTCTCTTCATCTGGAGGTTTATTTATAGATTTGTGGATTACAGAAAATCTACAATAAATTCAGATTTGTCACCAGATTCTCTGTTTTTCAAAGCTTTGTAACCTGTTGTTGAGTTTTAGACAGTTTGGTGTTTTGCTATCCACCTTGAAGCTTTTAACGCAGCACATGGTCCAATTAAAGGAAGAGAGAAACTCTGGTGTTTTTCTGGGATCGTTACAGTCCAGATGTTGGAAAAAACAAACTCCTTCCACTAAATTTTGTGTTCTTTTGGGTTTTTTCCATTTCAAATATAAAACTACTTTAAATTTTGACCAAAAGACTTAAATTCTGATTTTATTTTACTAAAAATATCAGTTTTCCTTGAATCAACAACAAAGTTATGGGACATGTTCATGAAACAAATCAGAAACTGACAGATGATTTGGACAGAAACATTTAAAGTCTCTCAAGATGGACATGAAGAGCTTCCTACTGGTTTCCAGTGGGGCTAAACTGGAAGGGGAAGGATGGGGATGGTGGTGAGAAAGTGGGAGGAGAAGAGGGGGGAGGGTGAGCGGGGGAACGAGGCCGAGAAAGCAAGGAGAGAAAAAAAGAAAGTGGTGGGGAAAAGAGATATACAGCGAGAAAAGGAAGCAGCAAGTGTTGACAGTGAGGAGAAGAACCTCCAGCCGCCGCAGCAGGGTAAAGACCTGAGACAAGATGGCCGCCGCGTCACAGCTTCATAAATATGTTCAGAAAATGATGAGCATTTCTGACAAACTGTAAAGACTGTGTCTGACCAGTAGGAGGCAGCAGCGTTAACAAATAAAACGCCAAAAAACAGAGGAAGCTGAAGACAGCGCAGACAAAAATCAGTTTCCTAAATAAATCCCAACCGAATCACAATTCAGAATAAATCCAAAATATCAGAAATAAAATACAGACTGACAAGTTAGGAGCAAAGCTAGTTGCTATTGGCTAGCATTTGGAAAGCAGCCAATCCGGAAGCAGCATTCAGTTTCCTTGGTGCTGATTGGTTGAAACACCAACAGCAGAAATAAATAGGACGTAAAAGTTAGCTTCTCCCGCTAAAACCGTTTCTACTGAGTTTATTAAAGGGTTTAAGGCATGTTTAGTGTTTAAACTATAAACAGGAAGTTCAGAAGCATAATGGATGAATTCTAAATTAAATTTATGGATTTTGATTCAGAGAATATTTCATGAGAAAAGACTTGCTGCATAAGCAAGCCACACTTTTTAGATTTTTGTTGCGACAGATCAACATTTGTGCTGCAGTAAAATGTTTCTGTGCGGCTGTGATGTAACATTAAATATCAGATTTTATAGAGCAGTGAAGGTGAGCGAAGCGCCTGCGCTCTGCTTCCTGACCTCCGTCACTAAATGCCAGTCGGTTTGGAAACAAGCTGAAATATTCTCCTCACTTCATAAAATCCTGCCGCCGCGTCTGAATTTACTGGAGAGGAAAACAATCTCACAATGTTCTCCGGATGATGAAACACGTTCAGCTCAACATTTAGAACGTTTCACACAAAATAAAACGACAGCCAGAGACGACTCCGAGCTTTTCACACGTTTGATTCGGTGATGGTGAGAATAAAACTTCTGCTTCGACTCGGCCGCAGATCTAATGACCAGAGCTGAAAGTATCGTTTGCTGCAATAACTGATGGGAAAATTTGTCACCGTTGGGAAACTGATGGGTGGAATAAAGTTGTGTTATTCAAAGATGCGTCAATGGAAATCAATCTGGTTGCTCGTCTTTGTGGTAATCATGATCCCCTCAGATGTTATCTAGTCTTTAACCTGCAAGCGTTAACCTCCATGAAAGAGTTTCATAAAGAAGTGGGCGGATTATTAATGTCTGAACCCAGAGGATCAATCTGGTGCAGATATGAATCTATTGTTTCTGATCTAAGTTCGGTTTGTCTCAGAAGCAGTTTTCCTCTGAGGCAGCCATTTTGGCGAGCTGCAGCAGCTGGAGGCCCTTCGGCTGTTTCATCAGCATGAGGAGCTTCAGGATGGAGGTGGGTCAAAGTGGCGGTACCTCTGCTGAGCCCGTCGGGCCCCCGGAGGATCCGGCACTCCTCGATCTGGCCGAACGCGGAGAACATGACCCGGATGTCGTTCTCGTTGCACTTCTTCGACACCATGCCGATGAACAGCTTCCTGTCTTCAACAGCTGCAGGAGACACAGAAACATTTAGTGGTTCATGTCAGTAAATGATCAGTGCTGGGGTTAAATAAGTACACCCTGGTTCAGTTCTGCAACGTTACGGCACCGTTCACGACCCAATTAACAATCAAAGCAAAAAACACAAACATACATAAACTGTCATGCAGACGGTTATCTAGTATTTTCTCTCTGAAGGTCCAACAGCATCTTTTCACGTTGATGTCTGGACTTTGACTAGGCCGCTTTTATTTGGTATTTAATCCTGTCTGAGATTAAGAGCAGAAACAGTTTTAGGAATGTTGGAATAAAACCAACATGAAGCTCAACAAAAACAAAGAGGAAAAAAAACCATTCAACATAAAACCTGAAGAAAATGTGTATAAATTATGGATGAAAGTCAGGAATATTTCAGGATTAAACCAGAACATCAAAGTGTCAGATTGGCTTTCTGGTCATTTCTCTGAGCTCTGACCTTTGACCTCAGGCTGCTGGGACCAGGGTCAGATAGGAAAATGTTTGGTTCCCTACAGAATGGGACCTTATGGAGTTGTTTTAAATAAATGTTGAATTTTTGTTGACATCATATTTTCCACTCGTTAGTCGTGATTTAAAAAGCATTTCTGACCATCTGGACAGAAAAATCACAATTAAAAATTGTATCACGGTTTAAAAACCCAGAATCGAATCGTTAGAAACTGAAAGATTTTCATCTCTGCTGACGTCCAGATCTGTCTGACCACAGCAGGAACATTTTTATGGTTTCTTTGGAAATTTAACGTTAATTGTTAAGTTTGTCGGAAGGAGAAATGGTTTCCTCCTGTGTGACATGTTTCCTCTCGGCAGAGCGACCGGCCTCAGGAAGCCCGCAAACGGCCCGATTACCTTTCCTTCCAGAGCTGCTGATCCGTTAACGAAGCGCTTTAATTAGCCGCTCCTGGGGAATCTGCTGAAGTTAAACCCAATCTCAAGCTGACGGTAAATAATTAAAAAACTCAGAACAAAGAAAAATGTTGAAACAGATGAAAAGTTAAAAGAAATGACAGAAAGAAAGAAAAAAGAGACTTTGTGTGTTTCATCATGCTGTGATCGATGCCTGATTATCACTTCAACCCTGAGACTCAACCTGGTGGAAGGAGCGGTGGCGGCGGCATGCTGCGGGCCGGCGGCGGCGACGCCTTCACTCCACATCCAGCGTAAGGTTAATCCGATTCATTTTTAATGAGGAAGCTGTCAGCTCCTTCCACCAGGCCGGGCAGATAAGCGCTCGCTCGCTCTCTGGGAAATCAATAGCACACTTGTTTATTTTGCTGTTTGACTCGTTTGTGTGTTTAAGGAGAAAAAAAGAAGAAACAACAAACTGACGGGATTCGCTGTCAAGATAAGAGGCGCTTTAAGAAGCCGTGGCTGCTCTGCGGGCGGCGTGTCGGTGTGTGAGCGCATCACTCCAGAGGATGATTAGCACAAGTCTAACAGCAATGTAATTAATTTACTCTGCGTCGATAGAGGGGAAGGAGAGCAGATATCGTTACAATTGACTGTTTCTGCTCGGCGTTCGAGGCGTGCCGGCAGGCGGCGAGGCGATAAGCACTCATGGAGACGGGTCAGCGTTGCATTATGGGAGAAAGCTTCAGGAACCGCCTGCGGACCCGTCAGGGCAGGAAGAACCTGAGCCGTTTCCCCGTTTTCTCCTCGCTGACTGAACTGATCAAACTCTCCGCCGCCGTTCGTCAGCGCTAAAGCAGATCTAACAGCGGGTTTATTAAAGGTCGTTTCTGTTAAACGGATGGATACGAATCCCTCGTCAGGCTCCATATTTCACCCTCCAGCTGCGAGCCACAGCTTTTTATTGAGTCCCTCCCTCCTCGCCCCGACAGTTATGTCTTATAAAGTCACAATTCGCCATTTCAGTGGAGCGGATGATGGCTTTTCTAAGGATTCCTTTCTTCTGTTTTTTTTGGGTCTTGCCGGCAGAACTTTGGGCTCCTGATATGCCGCCAAAAAGCAGCGTCGTTGGGTCGAAGCCCTTTATTTCCAGCTCTGGTTTTATAGCTTTCATTATCACGTTCTGCTCAATTGCTCAGCTTTAAGGGTCATTTCATCAAAATTACAGAAACGCACATTTACTCCACTTAGCCAGGCAGATAAATTAGATGTAATTTGCCAAAATTTCTGCTATCTGTCACTGATATTTATCATTTTTGCTTAAAAAGTTAATAAAAGTCTAATTTGAGGTCCACTGTTTATCCAACCAAAGTAATCGTACATCTGTTCTCATGAAATTAATCATTATTTTGCTTTTTAACATCTTAAAGGATTAAAATGAGATTTTCTGTAGAGTCTGAGCAACAACAGGAGCGTCTCCGACTGAATGTTTCTTTAAATCATTTCTGTTTGCAGCTTCTGACTGATAAACAGAAACTTATATTTCTTTTTTGAAATACTTTTATTGGAGCATTGGTGTTGAATAAATGGACCTGCATTAAAATCGGACCAGGCTCCTGATGCAAAGTCCCAAACCAGAAGAAAAAGTGACAAACTTTCATGTTTACATCAATAACCTTGGAGGTTCAGCTCATGAGAGCAACATGGATTTTAATGTGGAGTTAAAACATAAAAATGGTGATTATGTTGGTTTATTTGACCTTTAAGGCAGAAAAAAACTAATTTAAAGCAACCAGCTTCATTTGGCACGTACAGAGTTGAGTTCTGGGATCATTTTTATTTTTGTTGTATCGTTTTATGCTGATGATATTATAGTTTATCTTGCATTGAATACCACAGGATGGCTAATATTTTTAGCTCAAGTTTGGAAAAATCTGCTAAAAAACTATAAAAACATAAAAAATATATATTATTTCTATGGTTTCATTTTGATTTTTGCTCATTTATCAGAAAGTTTTAGCAGAAAACGTTGCAGGACGAGTCGTCACCTTGCAGACGATTCGAACTCAGACCATCCTGCTGTGGGATTAAAATTACCCTCTTTATTTCTGGTTCTGGTTTTATAGCTTCATTATTATGTTCTGCTCAATTACTCAGACTTAAGGGTCATTTCATCAAAATTACAGGAGCTCACATTTACTCAGCTCAGCCATGCAGATACATTAGCTGTAATTTGCTAAAATTTCCGATCTCTGCCAATGATATCTATTATTTTTGCCCAATAAGTTCATAAAAGTCCAAATTGAGGTCTGCTGTTTCTCCAGTTAAAGAAATCATCCGTCTGTTCCTCTGAAGTTGGTCATTAATAATCTTTCTCAACCTTTTGAATGACAATGAAATATTTTCTACTTTCAGAGAACCTAAAATTAATTAAGTCGCTTTCAGGTTTTTCAGAAACAAGAACTAAATTTATAACTTGTAGCTTTTTTGTATTAAAGTTTCAAACATGTAGAAATGAAATGAAAGAATCAGACATGTGGGTTTGTTTTTATCTCCATTGTTGAAGATTTTTAATTAAATCTATGCCAAGAAAACTTTGTCTTCCTTCCAAGTAGCCAGACTTTTGTTTCACCTTTTAAAGATTCTTCAAACCTTCTGAAGGTTTCTGAGATTTTCTGCAGTTATTTCACTCAAATTCACACACTGACCTGCTTACATCACAAATTTGATCATTTCTATGCAGACGACATCCAGATTTATCTATCACAACAGAAACCAAACGTTAAACTCAGCGTTTGTTTGATGACAATAAATCTTAGACTAACAGTTTTATTTTTCCTCTAAATGATAATAAAACAGAGATCATTTTGTTCAGGCATCACAATCAACTCCTTGACTTTTATTCCACTTTCTCCACTCATCTGTTCAATATCGCCCTATTTAACAAAGTCAACTCGGTCATGTGCTGTTCACTAATCTCATCCTATTTAAGTTATGGTGCAAAAATCTGGGGCAATAATTACAAAACTGCACTGCAGGGAATAAAAATACTACAGAAGAGCAATAAGAATAATCCATAAGGTATTAGAAAACTTTAACACGTTTTATAAAGTCTAAATCATTAAAGTTTATTGATATCGTGAAACTACAGAAATCTCTGATTCTTTACAAAAGTAAAAATGATTTACAATTTACAAGTTATGTGGGAAACAGTTTGAAATTTTACTACTGGAAAATCTGAGACAAACTGGAATAATTTAATATTAAAGTGAGAAAATGTCCAAACAAAAAACTGTTCAATTTATCAAATGCACATATGATTATAGCTGGAAATATGAGATTATTGTTGGTGTTTTTGTTTGTTTCTGCAGAAACTTAAAGAATTGATTCCTCATCCATGGTAATTAACATTAAATCAACAGCATATTGATGGTGATATTAAAGTTTATCTTGCATTGAATACCAAAAGATGGCTAACAAATACAAGCTTAGATTTCATTGTTTGTTCCAAATTTCTGGTAATTATTGAGTCGGATATGAAATGTTTGAAAATGAGTCATTTTCAAATAAAACAGTTTTGGTAAGCTAATTATTTTGTCCTCAGTCTTACTGGCTATTTGTTTTAAAAAACCTGATTATAAATGTAATAAATATAAGATTATATCGGTGGCTGAGGAGGGGAATTATTCATAAGTTTATAATTATCTCTTAAATTTGTAAAACTAAAGTTTTGACCTTATGATTCATGCTATAAGTTTTATTTAGCAGATATTCAAAAATAAACAAAACTCTGTGTTGATGTTTGAAGACTGACTAGTTGGACAACCAAAGCAGATCCATGGGTTAGAATGGCCTAGTCAAAGTATGAGAATGTGAAACGGATGTTGTGTGTTGTGACTGAGGTGGGTTTGATCTGCACAGAGAAACGGGTCTGCATGTGTGGATGAAGTGAGCGAGAGGCAGCCGCCGCGGGGAGCGACACCAGTTCATCACCGGGCCAAAACCATTCAACTGGCGCTGACCTCCTTCCAAAGCACCTCAATAATTTATGACACGAAGAAGAGAGAAAGATATAGACACAGAAATATCAGCATTTCCTCCTCTGTCTCTCTTTTCAGCATCTCTGCTTCAATCTTTTCTCTTCCCGTCTTCTCTGCAAGTCAAGTGAAGCAGCTATTACCAGGCAAATTCAAAAACATCTCCTGACGCGTGCGTGTGTGTGTGTGCGTGCGTGCGTGTGTGTGCGTGCGTGGGTGTGTGTGCATGTCCTTGTGGCCACTCACCATTAGATTTCTCACTGTCTGCAGGTTTCATCTGAATAGGGTGATGCAT